AGGATAGAGAAATTTTTGAATTTCTAGTACTTTTCTATTCTAGGCCAATCAACAAGCTTAAAAACTTTGTTGACAAATGTAATTTGCATTTCTACAAACATAATAGTGTACTTCGATAAATATTATACGTTTTATACGTATTTTACCGTAAAAAACTGTAAAATGTAAAAAACTATAGATAATGCTCGAATAACCCAACCCTGGGATGCATATCGTTCCGTCCTTTAGAAGACGCGGACAACTCCTCTCACAGAACGCTGGGTCTATTTATATATAAGTCTATGATATATACATATACACATGTTATTTGTCAATGTTAAATATTAAGTAAATGGCCAATACTTTTACGTTTTGAGAAGAAAATAGGAAGGAAGAGCAGTTACATTATCGACACGACGTAGTTGTGGACAACCGATTGCTACTAGTTAGTTCGCACGGCTCTCGTTGGCGCTACGAGCAACCGCCCGCTTGCCCCCCGCGCCTATTCCGCGATTCAGCGACGCGTTGTGTACATATAGCCCCTTGCACAATGGAAGGAATAGCGATAGCGATAGAAATAACACAGTTTTTAACACAGAATTCCAACTCGTCGGAAATTTTATCGCTATTACTTATTCCGATTTTCTAATCTGCATTGATACATGTATATTTTTGTATGTTAGATTCCGCTGTTCCTACCTTTATTTTTAAATATAAACTCTTTAAAACTTTTGTTATTTCTATCGCTATCGCTATTCCGTCCATTGTGCAAGAGGAGCTTATGTGCAAATGGTGAGTCATTAAATAGAAGTTGCGAGAAACCATTAAATTCACTCGCGCCCTCTGCTGCACGTGATGCTGATTGCGCCTCCTGACGTTTGGTTGCGTAACGTGACTTGCGCCTTATTACTTGGAATCGCGAAACATCTAGCTTAGTTAAGCAAACGTGGTCGAAGCGAGTTGATCGAACGATATTCACGCTTTTGTTCGAATATTTTTCGTACGTACAATATTTATTTAAACAAGCTACACGACAAGCGAAACAATGCCACGACGTGGACGTGCCGCTGCACCTCCTCCAAGAACGTAAGTCAACGCAACAGATTCCGTAATATAATTTTTTCGTCATTCGTCTACGTGCTTTTACGTAGTTACATCATGGTAGCACAGTTCAATACGTGCTGGAGTTTCTCTCCGGCTGTACAAGGATACACGCGTTACCGATCGATTGGATCTGCGTAGTTACGCTGTAAATATTTTTGGACAATTTTCGGTGTGTTTTATACTATTTTTTTTAATTATTATCTGTTAATGAAACAAATATACAACTCCGATTAGATTCCTTGGCGTCAGGAATCCAATCCACGGTTTTAATCTTATTATCAAAAAGACGTAGAATAGCGTGTGGACTAGCTTTACAGGTCCACTGAGCCAAAAGAGCACCAAACCAATACGTGCTGTACCTTTAATTGACTCCAGTCAATTAGATTTCATCGCAAAATTTTAATCCTTTGCATGCACATGAGCAAAGTCTCTCAAACCCAAAATTGCGCGTTTGTAAAAGAAATTAGGTTTTTTCAAACGCTTATATTTTCGAAATTACTAGAAATTTTTTCAATTTTTTTGTTTTCGACGCAGAATCGTTAAAACTTTTGATACACAAAAACAAAATTGGAAAAATATTGAGTTTTCGCGGGAATATTTGATTATAAATTCGCGTGGGTGTCACAGACCTAGTCTTATTTGTAATCATTTTTGAGGTCTGCAGGCAAAAGGTTAAATATCCATGTTCAGTTTTTCTCTCATTATTCGATATTTTTTTTGACAAAGACAGTACATGAATAAAAGAAGTAAACTTGACATTTTGTAGCGTTAGGCCTGCCGCGGCTGCACCAGCTAGGCCTGCACCATCCCAAGTGCCAGCTCATGCTCCGCCAGCTTCACCTATGATGGCTCAGCCTCAGCAGCCATCCCTTATGGGCCAAATGGCTGCTACTGCAGGTGGTGTAGCTATCGGATCTGCTGTGGGTCACACCATCGGCCATGCCATGACAGGTCTCTTCAGTGGAGGATCCAACGAGGCTGCTGCTCCAGCAGCTGCACCCGCACAGCAGAGCGTTCCAGCCTCTGCACCTGCTACTGGAGCTTGTGCATGGGAGATTAAGCAATTCCTGGAATGTGCTCAGAATCAATCCGATTTGTCTCTTTGTGAGGGATTCAATGAGGCGATCCGTCAATGCAAACTCACAAATAGTTAGTAATCCTGATTTGTCTGTCTCATTTATTTTCTCAGCACAGTGCTGACAAACAGATCGTTTTACTCATCTTGTACTTTCTGTTTTCAGATATCGTTTAAAGCGATGAAGTAGAAGATATGGAAGATTTAGAAACATCTAGACAAAATTGAAGAGTATGTTGTTCTCTAAGATCCTATTTGGTGTTTTATAAAAAGTTGAGGTTTTTTGTTTTTACAGTATATATGTATTTATAATATTTTTGTTAGTGTAATAATCAAAGTAATCTTGTACGTTTTTAAAATGCAGAAACACAATGAAAAAATGACTATTTCTTTCATTTTCAGGATTATATATATCCAACCATTAATTTTTTCCAAATTATGAGGAAATGTATGTTATACAATAGTTAATTGTAATGAATTAAAATAAATTAATGTACATATTACATTTACTCTACAATTTACATTAACCCATCAAATCCACAAAAACTCATTAGAATACGAAAGAAAAAGATAATATAAAAGACAATGAAAATTAAGATACTAAAATTAACGAAAACTTTATACCGAGTTTGTTTACCTTTATATTACAATACATTTAAATAACTTATTACAAGAGATAAAAATTATAAGTTCTTACAATGCATGGAGAAGAAACAGTAAATAAAAAATTTTTGGGTATCAGAACCGAAGTATAAGCGCACCTTCAACGCGAAAGTACAACGGAGCTGAGAATTGATTGCATTTTTCAAATCATTTTTGAAAGATTGTTGAAAACATTCAGAAATACTCTTGTCAACTCTATCGCTCTCGACCTAACACTGAGATTAGAGTCGCCATGATGTAACACTTGAGATTAGAGAGAGATAAAGAATGCGAGTTTCGTATAAAAATCGAGCCGGGAATATAATCAATTCTTAGCTGCGAAGTATGCGTATTATTTTATTACCGCAGTTATCTATTATATAATAGACTTATTTTTTAGACTATTATATATACTGAAAAATTTATAATGTATGATATATGAATATATATATATTTTGAGAGATATACAGTCTATATTATATGTAGTAACGTGATTATTTATACGACGTCTCTTTCTTTATTCGACAAGTTGGGAGAGGCAGTTAAACACGCACAAGCAGCACGAATATGGTAGACTATCTTTTTTCTGTATTTAACACACGCATCATCACGTAACCGGCGACTGTGGCGAATGCGATACCCAGTCCCGCTTTCCACCAAACTAGAGAATCCCCTTGCATTAGGCCGAATTGGTTTATGTGCCTGAAATGAAACACAAAAATTTACACCGAGTGTTTTTTCAACATAACAATATCGCAGTCATGTGTAATAAAAAATGACTTGATTATTTAATAATATACAAAACGTGAATATAAAAACACATGTACACAAATATATCAAATAATATTTTAATCACGTTAGCAATAGAAGTTTTTTGTACAATAAATAATTTAGAAAGGAAAAGTTGTTGTATCTTGTTTTTGATATGTCTTATAAGCATGAAGAAGGCGACTGAAATTTACGATAAGAAACACATCGGTAACTCATGCTCATGCTTGAAACGAACAAAAAGAAAAAGCAATATCTATAGACAGTGTTTATTTTAGGCAAAGTTATTATTGCGAGCTGCGCAGGTATGCGTAATATGAGCAATAAATATGAAATAAAAAAACCTTGTGAAAGAACTCCACCACTGAGAGGGTGAGAGATCAACAAGCAACATGTGGACCATACGCCTCAAATGGCTGAAAAGAGCCAATACGTTGTTTGTTACACATAATAAGTTTTATCCGTGCGATGACATGAATTTCTAAATAAATGAGCAAATCGCCTTGTCACATTTAAACATGAAGAGAGATGGAGGTAACTCCGCATAAAGTGAAAACAACATGCATCAAGAAGGAACGTACGATGATGATGATTGAATGCGGTTTTTTTTCACGATTTGCTCAAGCTTCTATAAACTTTTAATAGACAGTGTAAAGTTCAAAAAATTTGGACCAACCTGTCTCTGTAAAATAATACCCACGCTCCTTGAAAGCGGCTAAACACGAAATATCTTTTCGTTAATACCAATTTATCCGTTTGTTTTCTATTATTTTAGTTATTTTATTTTTTTTTTTTTATTTAATATTACGCTATTGTGTCTTAAAGTAAACGACAAAAAAATCAGGAAGGTACTGGAAAAAGTGCAATAAAAAATCTGTTCGCTTGAACATAAATTGAACGTAACTTCGTGATAGAAAATATCAGAAAAGAAACCAGGCGAGAAAAAGCTTTGATCTTTGATTTAACCAGTACTTTTGATTTTGTATATTAGCTACCAAAAAAAAAAAAAAAAATTATCTATCGTTTGTGGATTGAAGAGAAGCTCGAGATTTATTTGGCAAGAAATTTTTCGCAATTGCTCTTTTCTATTAACTTGGTAAAAATTATTATATATAAACTTACGGAAAGGCCGCCATCGTGGCCAATTTGACGAAGATCTCGCGCCGAACGGTGCGCGAAATGCTGTACGGTTGCGGAGGCATCAATTTGTACTTGCTGCAAAAAGCGGTTGGTTGTAACAGATATCCTTGTTTCACTTCGGAAAGGTCACTTTTGTTCGCTATTATCAGGACGGGAATTTTACTGTCAGCGAAGTATTTCTGCAAAGAAAAGTAATCGATTTATATATCCATAAGTTTAAATTCAATTACAATAAGATTTACTTACGATGTAAATGCGAGCGATATACTCGAACGATTTCGAATTGCTGGCGTCGTAAACGAGAGCAGCCGCGTCGCATTGTATCTCCGCTGGCGTTAATGCGTCCTGAACATTCAACACGTTTATATCTCTTAATATTATCATTTTCTCTTGCCCGTACACATGTACCGTATTCACAGTGACGTGAGCATTCGACGGTACCACCTTGTCGTTTAATTTCTACAAATTACACACGTGAAAACAAAACAATTTTAATGAGATCTAGGGAGGGGGGAGGAGCCTCGTGTTGTTGCGCAATTAACTTTAATTAAAAACGATTTTCTCATACCTCAAGTTTGGGATCGATAAAAGTTCTACACAACGTCGTTTTTCCGCTGCTCTTCGGACCGATCACGTGACAAGTGTAAACATTTCTACTCGATTGCTTTTTCGCGAGATCCACTTTCTTTTCGCGAGTCACAACAATCGAACTCGTTTGACACTCGTTGTTGTACATATTATATCCCAAATACGCCATGTATTCCAAAGTTTTGCGCACATTTGTCAATGTCAACAACGCCCACTGACACATGTATCCTTGAAATGTGATCCATCCCTGTGTAGGTAAATTATTAATTAAATTATGTGAAACACAGATAAAAAAAAGTTACAGAAATTTATCATTAATTTCATGAAAACCTAATTCGAGAGTGTCTGAGTACATCTTTTATTTTGATAACTGTGCAAAACTTTAAACGAGAATGTGACAGAACGCAAACCTTTTCATTCGTGGGTACAGTATATTTGTACTCATCGCCCCATGGAGGAATGAGACATCGGGAGAACAACGATTCCATTTCTGGAGGCGAAAGAGCTCCGTCACGATCACGATCGTGTTGCATAAACAGTAACGTTAGGAACTCCTGTCCTTTGTGCGACAATTCGGTGGTGCAACCAATCGGAACTTTTAACCTGTTAAGAGAAACGGAGTTGTTTAAAGCGATCTTGAAAATAATCATAATAATTAGCGCAAAAATCGATATTCACGGAGGATTGATGTAGTCTTTTGACATTTGCAGCTCGTTGTCATATCCGAACTTCCTTAACACAGCCCAAGTTGTTTCGTTTCGTCCGCGTTGTATGAATAAACATTGCAAGTACATAAATCCTGAAAATACAATTAAAGACACAATTGTATCAATACATATACAGGGTGTCCCGTAATTGCCGTCTCACCACTTGTAGGCAGGTACAAGGGATTATTCGTCGCTACGGCGCGACAGACTGGGCTGTCCTTACGCTGGATGCACGCTGAGGATGAGCTTAGCGGATCTTTATTAATTTTAATTTCATATCTCGTTAATTATTGCGAATCTTCTAAAGTGATATAGGATTTTTCGTCTTAGAATAACTCCTTCTTCTTGCCTACGAGCGGTGGACGGCAATTATGGGACACCCTGTATATGTTATACCGCATGTGTCTAACACCAAAATAATCGCAAACCTTTCATTGTGACACATCCGTTGCATATACCGTCGCAAATGTTTTTTGACAGCACTGCTTTCACATCTTCCAACACTTGCGGCTGCAAGGGTGTATTGAAGCACCATTGCTGAAATGCATTCAGCTCCATATCGTTTAAAAGTCCATCGTTATCTACATCGCATATCTATTTCAGGAGAGGAAATAATAATTTAGTAAAGCGTAAATAAAAATGAAAAAAGAAAAGAAAAACAAGACACACTCACTTTAAAAATTCTCTGTAGAGCTCTTTTGCATTCTTCTGTAAGCTGTAATGAAAGACAATCTCAAATTAGGCATAATTACGAAACTTAATTTAACAAAATCTAGATAAATTATACCTCTTGTGTATCATAATTGTACAAAGGTGTGGTAGGATGCAAAACTGCCTTTTGTGCGTAATAAAACGTTTCTGATACATTCTGAAGTGTTTTCGCTGAGCACTGTAAAAATAAAATACATTCGTGTTCATCTTTTTCTCAAATTTCTCTCTTGTTCTATATATCAAAAAAAAAAAAAAACACCTTTTCCAAAAAGCTAAAAAACGGATACCAAGTACACGTGCAATTTGCATATTTCTCTCAATATATATAATATTCTTAAGAAAAAGTATTACAATAAAAAAACGCTGTCTCTACAAAATCGATTCTACTGTAGAAATGATATCAAAAAGTAGCACCTAGTAAAATTTTGTAAGTTGTTTTCTTTCATGTTCTATACATCAAGTATGGATTTTTACCTCTATGCAGCTTTCAATCTCCGTGAATTCTTTCATGATCGGATACACTGCCTACAATTATAAGGCAAAAACATACATTGATGGAAACAGTTGTTACAAATTTCAAGATGGTGACATTAAGAATTGTTCAGTTGCTTGCAAACCTCTATGGTGGAATAATCCACAAGATCAATCTTATTGCCTACAAGTACAACTGGGCATCGATTGTCGGGTGAACATCTTCTGATCAATGGTAACCAATAGCTGGCTGCTCTGTCCAAAGTGTCCTCGTCATCCACAGAATAAACAACACATATGACATGAGCCTTCTGTATCTCCTCTGTCAGTTGATCATCCGTTTGCTCTACCGCTGGCAAAACCAGTAATAATAATATTACGACTTGAACGAAAACGGACAACAGTTTGCGTGTGTGCAAAATGCACATCTCGATACATACCCGAATAGTCGACTATGTGTGTCGGCACTTGTTCCGGCGTAACGTCCGCCGGTATTGTGATTTCCTCAGCCTTGTTGGGCACTTCCTCCGCATATTCCTCGCTCACCAGAGACAGTATCAGAGAAGTCTTGCCGACACCCCGCTCGCCGATCAACAATATTCTCACATTGCGCCGAGGCGCGACCGGACGCTGTACCATACTGGAGCACCGACGAATAAATTATCCGATACGGCGTTTGCCGTTCAATTCTTCGCGATTGACATTTCCCTCGTTCTCTGAAGAAGGTTTACAGCACTTCGAACTATAACCTATAACGTCGCGCCGAGTAAATGCCGATGCTATACGATACGAGATAATTCGCGCACCCCCAGCGAGTGTCTCCTACGGTGACATTCTACGGGAGGTATCGAGAACGACGAGAATCACTGACACATTATCCGCTACCTTCTTGTCTTTTCTCGAGAGTGTTAAACACACGTATATTACGTCGAGAAAAAAAACACGTATTTTGCACTTAACGCTTTACCGAAGAACCGAGATAGACACCAATCACAATCGCTGGGCGACTACAGCTGGGGACCACCAATACAAACTCCGATACACAATCACAGTGTATCTACAAATATATACCTCACGTATATGTATAGAGACCGGCAATAATATCCTCTTTGGGTACTAGATCTAGAGTCGTGAGAGTTTCGGAGATCGGAGTTTCACCATACTCGGTCTAGTAATCGGTCGATTAAGCGTCAACTGTGATTGGTCTATGTTGTGTTTCAGGATATATTCGCGCATCGTGATCACAGAATCCTCCAAGTAGCGCCGGAAATACCGGCACATATGTATATGCGTAAAATAGAACATTTATTCGATATATATCAATGCTACCTGTAATACATCTTTTCTCTCAATTGTTTTCTCTTGCGAGCTCTGTGTGAAAAAGGAATGAGAATTTCCCATTAGAACCTGCATTATTCGTCCATAACAACCGACGGAGATTTGTCGACGCTGATGTTATCGAGCGTCAAAATAGAACGCGCGCTACCGCTACGATAACGAACAACGCGCGACGACGAATAAAATGTCAAGATTTTTTTTTCTTTGTTAAATGTTAAGTTAATTAATTAGATTGATTAATTAAGTGATCTCGCTTTTTTCTATTTAAACAATTTACAGAATTTATTTAACTTATCTTTAGATTATTTTATTTCAAAATTAAAGAGAATTAAATGACTCCTGCGTCGGAAAAAACCGATCTTTTCTCTTTCGATTCGTTTTTGCTTGCTAACTCGGCGTCCACGTTCTCCTCGATCTTTCCGCGACGAATGCTGCGACCTCCCACGATGATGAGCGTTCCCTTCATTCGGTGAGGTTGTTACCAAAAATGTAAAAAAAAAATTGTATCTATAATGCTACTTAACTCTCTCCGCACGCCTCCTGCTAAGAAGTTCTTGCACAAACGTACGCTGCATTTTCGTCGTTTAAAAAAATGAAACACGTCAACAAATCCGGAGATCTACATGAAAAATATCCAGATTTTAATAATAAGAACAGAACGGAATCTTGATTACTTTTCTACTATGCCTTAAATTTCTATATCACTTCTTGTTTTAACTCACAAAACACAACATATAATCCATACAACAAAATTACGTGCAAAATAACAATTAGTTCTCTCAATTATATTGATTTATAATATTTATTTTTACAATACAAGACTTATATACTAATAGCATAAGAAGCGATAACGAACATCTGTCCTACAATTTACACGTACACCAGTGTTATCCATTAGTACTCATTATTATACTGCAAGTTTGTTTGTTTGTTTGTTTTTTTTGCGAAGGAAACAGTTGTTCGATATAACCCCAAGGGGAACAATATAAAGATCTATTATATACCTATATATTTTTATATTATTTTTCTTGTATATAAACTTTCAGTTATCAGAAAAATATTTATATATATATAAACAGAATTTATTTTATTGGTTTTCTAACTACACATTATACACGCTACTATATTTGATACTTTTTCTTTAAAATCTATATTGCCAAAAATACGTGTTGTCGATATTGTAATTTCTTTTTTTTTTGTTTTGTTTTGTTTTGTTTATATCTGCGATAATACAACGGTAATTATCCCTTGTTAATTCTTATTCAGGTTGACGATTTGTACTGATATCAAGTATAGAATTTGCTACGAAGAGAAAAGGAGGAACGGAAGAAACACGTTTCTTTTTTGTCAAAATATTATCGTGCGCACCGTAGTGCGTTTCTTCGGCATCCCGGAAACACACTAATAACAAACGTATTCTAGACCTTTTTGACATCGTCGTAAAGTAGAAAAAAACACTATTTCTAAAGAAAGATAGAGCTTTGAGAAAAATCGATAGAGGCGCGCGCTCATTCCGTGAAGTTAAAAAAAAAAAAAATAAAATAAAAATCACTTTTCCGAGGCAGAAATTTTGTATCTTTTAACCTACTTTTCGCAAGAGAAAGCTTATACTATACAGAAATAAAAATCTAAATTGTTAGAGTTATATATAAACTACTGTATGATTTTGTTTTACGGCTGTTAAGTTGTATGTATTGATATTATTAATACACAGATATTGTTTGTTAACTTCAAATATCGTTTTGTTGTGGTTATAAACCGCATTGATCCTTTCCGTTATTGTTGCGTCTCTCCTCATCACGCGAGATTATGTGTAAATGTTCATTTTTATGGTAAGACATAATTTTTTTTTTTTTACACTCGGCATACACGCGTATTAGTCGCATAGACTAAGTCAGAATTACATATTCCCTATAACATATTTTGCATGAAAAATTTTATGTGTAAAAAACGTACAAAACTCCGCATTGTGTAAACATGAAGTAACATATATATAAGAAAGTTATTGCGAATTATGACTTGGAAATCAAGAATTATACATTAATACATATTGCGCGCGCACGCGTTTATATAGAAGCAACCACGACAGAGCCACATCTTTCATTAGGTTTTCATATATATAAATTTTTTCATAATCTATATATATTATCATAATAATTACTTCGATATTTCTTATCGCTCTTTCGTGCAATAATTATAATAAAAAATGTCTCCTCTCTTTCACAGAATGATCACATTTATACATGTATTGTACATATATGTTAACAAACATCGCATAAAATATATATTGTACACGTTAACAAACATCGTATAAAATTATTGCGTCGAGTAGCATATAACGTAAATGAAATAGCAAATAATGACAATTTTATATCAATTTTTCGTCGCTGGCAATTTCAAAGAATTCAGTTCTGCGTGTTTTCATCAAATGTTTAATTAATTTACGATTTCTGTATGTTTAAAAAACACAAGAGTAATATCATTCTGTGAAAGCAACTATTGCACGAACGAGAGATAATTTCTCTCACTTTTGCGTCACAAGTCGTTTGAATAACTCGGAGATGAAACAGTTTTGGTTTTTTTTTTTTTTTGGTTTTTTTGATTTTGTTTTTTTTTTACTGATTGTTACAAACGTTATGTATGTCGCGTGTAAATGTAACGAAAGTGTAAAACGATCAAACGATAAAAACATATACACACAATTCGTTCGCGCAATAATTTGCAAAAAAAAAAAAAAAAATAATAATAGATTAGTACCTCAACTTCTTAATATGTACGAATACAATGCTTCTAAACACCAGAAATTACATTACATACAAATATATTATTAAATCTATTTCCTATATTTAAAGTTGTAAACAGAGCGGATGCTCTTATCTTCAAGCTAATATACGAATAAAATTTGTAAACGCGGTTGTTAAATTTTTCTTTGCACATCACTTGTGTTCTCTTTTAATTATAGCCTTATGAGCTAAGATTTAAATATCATAATATTGTACCGGAAGACGGTTCTTTTCACCGTAAAAATATTGCAAAGGTAGCAAAACGTTCAAAAAGTAGTGCGCTTCTACATTTATATAAAGTTTCGCGCTACATGGCGTTTGCGAAAAAGCATCGATATAGAATTTTACACATATACGCAAAAGAGTAAGAAAAAAATTAATTTCTTTTTGTTAACTGTGACTTGTGTATTTGTATAAACAACAATGCGGAATTACCTGATTGTAGAGAGAAATTAGAAGTGTTAAAAGATCTTACGCACATACACGTAAACGTTCACCTCTTGTTGAACGCAAGTTTGTTACTTTCATATGTCTGAAAATGGCACTGCTTGAATGAAATTTTCTTTATACAAATTTCTCTCTTTCTCTCTGTGTGGATGTATCGTACCGCGCGTCGTAGGAAAATTTATAATTCGATTTTTTAACGCCATTTTTTTTTTTTTTTTTTTTTTAAATGAGAAATGACACCACGTAATTGATAAGCGCGAGGCAAACACATGTACACATACGCATGTACGTAATATGCAAAACTACACAAACTAAAAAGGTAACTAAAACTTGGTTTTGTGTTTTCTTCTCAAATAAACATTCACGAATTTGTGATTCTCGAGCAACATTTTTGTTTTTTTCATTCAGTTTTCGAAAAATTAGTAGTGATTAAATATGAGGACGCAAATGACTGTTGTGCATAAATTTTCTCACAAGTATGTTCTTTTCTTTTCACAAAGAGATTTGTTTGTGTTATAATACACATATGTAGATATGTTAGTTTTATATTTAAAAGTGACGAAATATCGATAAGATGTAGATTGTTCGAGAAGTGAGAAATCAATTGTAAATTTTATCTCCGCTCTACTCTTATCACGTGGCCTCCGTTCAAGTCAGTGTTGTTGAGAGTAATCGAGTAATAATTTCATGAAGGTACACAAATACAGAATAAGAGAAATTATATAGAGTTCGAGTGTCGACAAGACGTTATCATACTTCGTATTATCGAACAAAATCGCTTTACATCGTTCCGGTGCGTAATGCAATTTGAAAACACCAGGTAAATTCACCGCAGCAATAAACCAAAAACTGTACTTTGATTGTAATATATATTCAGTGTATATTTATATAAAAGCAGTATGAAAATGTTTCTACTATCGCTAAATATAATATTCACGGCAAAAAATACAAGTCAAGTAATAGAATTGAATTAAATTATTTCTAACTGTGAGTAAGAGTGTGTTTGTATGTAATCACAGTCGTACAGCCATTTGTTACCTCGTATTTTTCACAAAAATGCATCAATCTAGATAGATTTTTAAAATAAAATAGTTAAAAAAAATCACTGCAATCTCTGATACAAGTTTTACAACAAATATATAATTAAGAATATCACGATATTACGCGTAATTGTAATTTTCTACGAAAGTGACTAAGAGCAACCATTCAGGTGAAATAACTACGAGTTAACGTACATATATATATATATATATATTTATCTATATGTATATATATGTATATATTGATGATCTAAAACGAAATTTAGCAATATTTAAAGGGATAAAAAAAATATTTTAAAAACATTATGTATAATATCGTAATTTATAGTGTAAAGCGAGTCACATTTGTTTTACTGAGATATATTATGTAGCACGTATAATCTTTCCGATTAATATTAAAGAGAATAATAGAACTATATTCAAAATCTTTGTGAATATTGAGCAGGTATTCCTTTGCAGGCAAGAGAAGACATATACACATCACGCTAAGAACAAATGAAAAATAAATATATGTAAATATATATAGGATCTCAGAGACATATACATGTCACTATCAAACTAACAAATGCGGTAATCGTCATATCAAAAATTACTATAGTGATTAAAGATGACACAGGTTTTACAGCAAGTACTTTTAGTTATAAATTATGATATAAACGTTCAGCAAATTGCCTTTAGATATTACAATTTGTTACGCAATTTATTAGTATACAATATTCTAGTGATTATGTGTAATGTTGTTCGTCTGAACTGTACCGATAATTCTTCCCTCTAGTGATACAAAACAGATTTTGTTGCCTCTCTGCTTCGTAAATTTCGCCAAATCGACGTTAAAAAAAAAAAAAAAGACAATTTCATCAATCTTTAATTAAAAACTAAACATATGTAAACATTAGAGCACGGTGTCGTCTGGCATTTGAATTTAACGTAAGAAGAATTATTCGCACAAGACAGAGCGTGTATAACGTTTTGTATATCGGTATATTAATTTGTCAAAAATATAGTGTATTTGCCCTCTTGTTGGTTTCTTTTTTGAACGTTAAAAACTTAATTCGAAAGCTTTGAATAAAAAATCATTTTTCAAGCAATCAAATGTTTTAATAAGTTTAGAATTTTTAAGTAACTTCATAATATAATTGTCCTAAATATTGCGTATTTGCGTGAATCTCTTTTACGATACATCTAATTTTGTTAGTTTTAATATGGCTTTATACAGTAACAACATATATATTTTTTAAATAAATATAAAACTCATATAAGTTAGTATTTAAAAAAATTCTTAAATACAACGAGCAAATTTGTTCGTACAGAGAATAGTGCTCTAAAATATTAGGATTATTCCTAAAACCAACAACAGGGGATAGTAGTACATAAATATTCAACTGTATGTTTGCTTTATTACATGATAATATTAGCTAATCGTCCATTTTGTTACTCTCCTATTACTCTATTTTGTAGCTAGATTGTTTGCTTGCGCAATAATTTATAATTTTAATATATTTTATAATTTTTGTTATTGTTATAGAAGTAAAATAGTACATAATATATATATATATATATATATATACACATATATACATATATATATGTATATATATTGTATATAATTGTTTTTGTAATATTTGTATATAATTCAATTCTATTCAAGAATATAATTTCTAAATTTTCTGGCAACTAATACCGCGAGCAAACTTTGCTTTCTCGATTATTTAAAAATGCAGAAAGTTTTCGCATCTCTTCACAAAGAACCGTTTACTCGAATGTTCCCATTGTTTATTGCAATATTGCTATTTCAAATACAAATATATACGGAAAACAGTTTGATCGCGGAATACCATTGATGACAAACCTGCATTCTTTATAAGTATCAATCTTAAATGTGATGCGTAAATTACCGTATTTGTTTGTCATTGTAAATTTGTATGAGTTTAGAAAATTTATTCCTTCTATCGTGAGTGTATTATCTGCGTAAAAATGCATATGGTAATATATATGAAAATCTACTTATCGTCATATTTTTAAATTGCTAAATCTAATGCGCTTTAACGACGTAATAATGCCATAAAAAGAATTAATTAAATACATAAAAAAAACTATATGTATAAAACATAAATATTGTCTAGTATTTTGTTTTTTTTCTTTTTTATCCCACACATTGATACATCTTTTTTTTTCAGATATTGTTATTTGTCTCTCTTTACCGATTCTTTTGTTATTAAAAAAATATTTCTTTTAAAACATTATTTCTGTACTTATAAAGAATGCATTGAATATTAACACAAAATTATAAATTCATATATTATTATAAATGTTTAAATCTCTTAACTCCTACATATAGTTCTTTGAAAACGATGTTATGATATATGCGGTCTCTACAAAACTTAAATATTGATTTGTCATATGAGATTTTAAAGGTGACATATAAATGCCACATGACTGGGACAGAAAAAAAAGAGAAGAAAACAGAAATTTTACAATAAAAAATCGGGAATACATATTATCTAGATGTGAAAAATAGAAATAATTTACAAAATAAATATTTATTAATATTTTTTAAAACTAGAGCCAAAAAAAAAGAAAACAGGTAGTCTGAGAGTCTACCTGCTTTAGACCATATATATCATAATAGAGAGAAATAGCATCTTTTCTTTAATAACATCTAAGAGTGTTGTATTATTGTTTTAATATTTTATATATATAATAATCTAATAAAAACACTGACGTAATAAAAACATTCTTTTTGGCCTCACTTTTTTTTACACTAAACTATGAGGATAACTGAAAAAAAGAAAAAAATAAACAGAAAAGCAAAAACCAACTATAGAACTGCGGTTTCAAATATATATGTCAGATACGAAATTCTTTGTGTGTAATTAAGTAAATATCTGCTGCAATATATGTTTTATTAAAACGAGATAAAACGAATTCGATTCTTTGACAGTTTTAATTACGCGTATAAAATGACAAATAGCTTAAAATATTTTAACCTTTTTTTTTTTTTTTTTTTTTTTTAACTCGTGTAAAAGTGTTAGACTTCGTCTTTGTGCGAAGGGGGTATTATACTCTTGATTTCATTAAATTTTACATTTGTAATTTGTTAATATGCTAAACAAAAGTAGTTATTAAAATTGATTATTGTAACATTCTTTTTTGTATCTATATGTAAGGAAACAATTTGATAATGCTGTCCTATCTATCCTAATCTTTTGTATATACCTTAGGCTATATATATATACACATACATATATATGTATATATATACCGAGTGTATAGTCATTTTTGTCAGAGTTTAACAACCACATTTTTAAAATGAATATACACATAGAGCCGGAAATATATAGACGTGCTTTTTTTCTTTACACGCTCTAAATTTAGCATACTTGTAATAGTACGCCGCTGAACTGTAACACGTATGTCACGCGTGACTTATATGCGTGAATCATATATTTGTATATGATATATATGTATTTGTGTGTATGTATTTATGTATGTATACATATATATATATATAATTATTTTTTTGATTAAATTGAAAAATCCTAAATATTTCTAACATGTATATATATATATTCTTACATCTACAATTGTAATAGCCTACACATGAAATAAGAATAATTGGCTCAGTAATTTAATTGAATAATTGGTTGAAGATCAACATCTCTTTTCACTACTACCACACGCTATTTAATTGAAAACGTTCTTTTTTTCTAATAATTCCGTCGCGCAAGTACTAAGAGTACATAATCAAGCATATTTAAGAGTGAGTTGTTGTATAGAAATTTATGCAAACAACCACATGTATACATTAAAAAATAAAAACCGAATTTTGTCTTTATGTAAAATTGATAAAAATTAACTGATTATATTGTGAATACACCTCTGTGTTCGAAGTGAAACGTTATACATCAGCATTATTGTTCACGGAACGAGACAAAAAAAAGCAGGAAAATAAGAAAAAGGAAGAAGGAAAAAAAACAGAAGCTGCAATATAACACTGATAAATAAAATGAAACAAATAGAATATATATAATGTATATATATATGTACTCATATAATATTTTTCATATAAGATAAATTTTTTTAGCACTATCTTTCGGATCTGGTCTGCAAATTTCTATGTATTCTTGTTACAATATACCTAGATGAGAAATCTCTTTGTTATCAGATATACAAAAACCTAAAAAATAAAACACGCACTCACACGTACACTCACACTAGCGTACAATAATGGTTTCTAGTACACTTGCATTCACATCAATTAAATGTCCCTTTTCTCTTATTAAATCGAAATATATTTTTCTATCTTAATTTGTTATAATTAATTAGTAATTACTTAATTATTAATTAATTATAATCAGTAGTATATTAAATATGATTTGCCTATTTTTTCTTTTTCTTTTTTTGTCGTAAAATATAGCTATGTGAATGCGGACACACCAGAAATCATTAATTTAATTTTGTTTATCCTAAGTGTATACACTTCCTATAATATTTATATCTTCAATATTAAGTTTTCAACGAAAAATATAAAATTTGTTAATACTTATATTTATTACACACATTCAGTACGAATCAATTGGAAAATCCTATTAAATATATATATATATAGATTTAAATATAATAGAAATATTATTTTTTTCTGTGACATACGTTTCACAGCTCAATCATTGAAAAAAAGTTTCTCCTTTTTATTCAATATATTAATAAGAGAAAACTTTTGTTGCGTTTATTAATATTAACTTTTTTCCTTAAACAATTATATAGTTTTTTTTTTTTTTTTTTCGAGGTCCCGAAACTTTGTTCACAACTGCAATTATAGTGATTTCGTGCTAAATGTTAAACCCGCATTGGTTTCCGTCGCAACTTCCTAGTTTCATATTGCCAAATATGAAATTTTTTGAGTTGTGTATAAAATAAAAGATCTTCTTGGTTTGTTTATAACGCTGCACTTTTTCAAGCGTTGCACTTAAAAAAATGTGGATAATTGAAAATGTAGAGAAAAATTTGTCAATTTAAGATACAAAAAATTACAAATGTACATATACTTTGAATGAATCATCGATCATATCTTTAAAATTCTTGTCACTTGCGAGTACATGCTTACCGCGATAAGAAAAGCTTTCAATGCTTGTCAGTATATATCAGATTACTAAAAATACAAAGTCCTTGCCAAGTTGTCACATATATATTACTCACATGATACTCTCTCTTAGAAAAACAGCTGTTCCTCACTTTTTTTTTGTTTTTCTTGATTTTTGTTGTAACGGATGAAAAGCAGAAATTTTAATAGAATTCTAAGGAAATAATCAGGTCTAACTTGTTGAAACGACTGGAGTCTGACAGTACGGACATTCTCGCTGATTCGGAGCGCACGTCGAGCAGACCACGTAATGATTACAGGGTGACAGAGTGACGGCTCGATTTTGTTCCTCACAAACCATACATTTTGTAGCTGTTTCTCTATACAGCACCTAAATATACAAGTATACGTATTATTACAAAGTTGTTTTCTTACAGTGACTCACTTGAAAGAGATAATGACACATTCGATTGAAGAGCATATTGTATAAATAGTGTAACAAGGTGCTCTTTCACTTTTGTCTATCTCCTTTTCATCTTCTTACCTTTTCTACTTCCTCGAGATCCGAGCGCAATTGCGACTGAATTGATTTCAAAGTAGCTATTGATAGTGATCTGAGCTCGCTTATTCGTGTTATTGAATGAAGATATGGACCGCCGCTAGACGCCTCGTTCTCGACCCTGAGTGCTTTCACTTGTATTAAAGCCTGCAAAGAATTAATACTCTTGGATAAACGACGAATTGAATTTCGCTATCGTGAAGAGAAGCGCGCGGTTAAAAGTTAAGCGAGATATTCACCTCGTCTCTCTGTTGCTCGGCAATAGTGGCCTTTCTTTTTGCCTCTTCACTTTCCAATTGCCACGCAGCACAAGCTGCACGCGCCTGATTAATACGCTCGTCCCATGTCGCCAGTTGTGCGCGGCTTGAAGTCAATTCATCTCTGAGCCTTTGTACCTGCAACGTGCGAGCGTGTATTGCAAATACGATATTCTAGAGAAGCTCATTCTGCAAGATATTTGTGAGAAATTCTTAAAAACGCTTGCGGTCTAACCTCGGACAACGATCCGGTGTTACTTGGACTAATGGAAAATGCATTGACCAATGGAGATGCCGGTAGAGTAGGTTGCGTACGTGATGGAGACATTCCTTGGTTCGCGAAATCAAATAAACTACTATTGAATCCACTAAGTTTAGAAGCTGAGCTGCTAAGTTGCGAAATGTGATTGCTAAATGGATCTGATATCTGATTCATAAATGGCAATGTCTGAAAGCAAAGTTAGAAAATAAATCAATAAAATAATCGCAAATTTCTCCGTTAAATGGACTCGACCGTATGTGGAAACAAAAATATCTGCTTACAGATTCCATGGAATCTTGATGAGAAAATCTCGAACCAGTCAGGAAACTACTACTTTGTAGTTGTTGAAGCGGGCTCGACGTCGATGGTGAAAAATTAGTGAGAACAGAACGTTCCGCCATGCCCGGTATATTAACCGGAGCCGAACTACCGAGTAAACCGGAACTAGCTAGGCCTGCAGATATTGAATTACCGATCGGTGAGTTTGTATCCCTATGAATTGAATCAACTAAATTTAACGGGTCGTCTAAGTGTAACTCATCTAATGCGTTTCCTGTAAGAACATCAATTTTATACATGTTGAATTATGTTGTGTGTATTGTAAATAAATAACTACATATCTCGTGACTGCTTACCTACTACAGATTCAACAGTATCGTTCGAGTAAAACGAATTTGAAAGTGGTGAAACAGTCGTTGCTAATGAGTGACTGCCTAACGTCCCATTCAAATTGTATGCAATGTAGAGACTTTGTTTCTGCTGCGCCTTTTCAGCTTTAGTTAACAATGGGTCGCTATCTATGGCGATCATTTGTTTCCGAATTTCATTCTGTTGATGTTATCAGTCGTGATTATCTAGTTATCATGGTTTTTTTTCATAACGATATACCGTATTTAGTAAGATAAGACATTAACTTACAACTTGTATAAGGGAACTAGGATTGTAAAGTATGCTTGTAAGTTTTTGTTGCGCTGATGTGTTCATACTGGAATTAGTGTTGGTGGAATTATGCAGTTGAGAACCAGGAGCCTTGCTATGCGAACTATTGCTACCCAAACTGCTAGTGCTGGCAGATTCAGAAACTTCGCCGCTCCCATTCTGCAATTCGTCCAAATAATAATAGCATTTCTAAAATCTAATAGAATCTGGCAACACAAGAACGGATACTTACGCTGCTGTCACTAAGTTGCTTATCCTTGTCATGTGCGCGCTTGTCAGGTGGAAGAGCGTTGCTGAGTATGTCGGCCAAATTCGCGCCGCAATCTATGGGCACCGCCATATCTCTCGCCAGGCTCATTTCTTCTGTTGGCAACACTGCTTCCATCAACACACCATACCAACGTCCCAATATATCAATTTTGAGAAACAATTTTGACTATTAAAGATTTTAAGCATTTATTTTTTAACTGGTTCTACGTGAAGAAACATTAGCTAAAAACGCGTTTGATCGCACGCGTGCAATTCATACGCGAGAGAGCTTCTATCGCTGAGAAACAACAGATTACTTTGCTTCTCGACTATTCGAGAGACAGCCAAGATATTTAAAAGAAAAAAAAACAAAAAAAAAAAAAAAAAAAAAAAAAAAAAAAAAAAAAAAAAAAACAAAAAAAACAAAAACAGCCAGATAGATGCATAAATAATCTCGCTATATATACATATATATACACATATATCGCTAATTTCACAAAGACACGTGTATAGTAAGACTGTTTTACGTACGATTGATGAGTGTACACTCACGGTCAACATGCGCGAAAGCGCAGAAGACTCCGCGCGGACAATAGCCGGCTTGTTGCACATCGTTACACTTGGTAGACTTGTAAATTTCGGGATGAAACTGTTGCTCCGTTCGTGTGTGACAATATGTGCACGCGTCACCTTGCTCGCAATTACCCGGTTCGCCCCATTCCTCACCATGTTTCACATTCGGGCAAGGGGTCGAGCTGTAATCGCAAGCATACCCCATTTGTTCTTGCGCGAAACAATTACATATGTATATATGAAGACCACAGGGGTAGAACTTAATAAGTCACATCTTTGTAATTTTAGAAAAGAACGATTTTAAAGTTCGAAACGTACATGTCACACGTTTTCCAAAACGTCACTCTACACATATAATTAGTGACACTTGGAAAATCATGCTCTTTATGATCATCAAATATTAAAAAAAAAAAAAAATATTCACAAGGTAACAATTTGCAACCGAAATAATCCCTCAGGACTTTAGGGAAACATAAAGTTTTAAACTTTTAAACTGCTCTCGTCTAAAATTTGCGTCTTGGAGTTACGGTTTGGGGTTGCACGTAGGTACGTAGGGAATGACGAAAAATGCTTAATATCTCGGAATCTATCAAGAATTTCTTCCTCTCGCCTTGGATAATTAAAACCATTTTAACTACCAAATAACATGAAAAACAGAAAATCGAAAAAGCTGAACTCATCAATTTCTTCTCTCGTGGTCTTTCATATATATGCATATAACGTAACTCAATCTCAAAGTAAAACGAACAAATTGTTTTACCGATATTTATATTTCCTCGGACTGCGTCTCTTGTCTTTGCTATTGTGATATTGCGGACAAGCGTAACCCTGCCGGCAGAGTCTGGGTGGTCTCTTGCATGGTTCGGTCTTGTAGTTGCTCAGCACGTAATTCGTGTCCTGCCATTTGGGATCCTCGTTCATCAGATTTCGCTCTTTATCGAGTATGTTAGGCCCGTTGGATGAGGAGTTTGGGTCTGAGTCGGGATTCTCCAACGCCTGAATCTCCTTGATGTCGTATACAGGCGGACGCAGATCATGATTGCCGTGCGCGAAAGCGCAATGCGGACCGTTTTTCACGCAAAATCCACGCGTGTCCGTGTCATGAACGCACATACACGTCTTGTAGTAACGTAAATGATAACGCCTCTCCGTATCTCCCGCTGTGCGATGCAAGAACGGACAGCTGTTATCAAAATGACATATTTGTTTTTAATTATCTCCAACTGAAAGAGATCTAATAGAGGAGCATTGCTTTTATATCTTGTTTACTTTTACATAATGTTCAGAATGGGCAGTTGTTTATAGAGAAGAGAATTGCGTTATAAATTGTTTTTTTTCTTTCGATAAGTGGTTTTAATTCTCGCGTCGTTAAGCTTTACAATTCCTAGAGATTTGTGTGTGTTTTTTAAGCAAATCTTTGAATCCGACGTACTTCTGAGCTACCGCCAAACAAACTAAAATTTTATCATGAAATTATTATTTATTAGAGTAAAATTTATGAAAATTATGTGATAAATATGTAACATTGCTAAAAAGAAAGAGAGAGAGAGAGAAGATGAAACAGAGTTTTATAATTTTTTGTTTCACAACACTTTTATAACATTCAAATAAAAAGATATTTAAACATCGTGATTCTTTGTTGTGCCGTTGTACCAAGTACGCGAGGGAAAATCGATAAGAGTAGGCTCCTTTGTTCGGCTCGCAACTGAGGATTTTTGGGAGGATGTTCATTATATATGACACAGCGATTATATAATAAAACTCACTTTTTAAATAAAAAGTAAACACCACCATGTTCGCAGACGTAAAACTAATTTGCGAGTTGACATTTCGCGGAGATAATCGAGAACGTTACAGTCGGGAAGAAAAAAAAGAAACAAAAAAGCTAAATGAATGGTATCTGAGAAACATTATCGTTGTGAACGATTAGATTTTTCCTATCGAAACCATTAAAAATTGTTTTTCGTGATGCAACATAGTGATGTTACACCGTGATATTTTCACGCGGCACACATGTAACGGCACGTAACAATAAAAAAAAAACCACACAATTATTTTACATCAGCAAAAGAACAAAACTGATTTTTCTTCGATTTTCCGATCTGTCACGAAGTGATAAGCTTCCGATTTTATTTCGCGAGCAAGTTATTCAATTTCAAAAACAAATAAAGATTATGTGAATTCTGAGACGAACGTGTATTCCGAACGCGCACACACGTGTTAACAAAGATCATCTCTCTCTCCCTCTCTAGTAATCCAATGAGACAAAGGTGTAACCGTAGCACCTGGGCTGAAACATGTGCGATACAACGTAATGTGCGCGCGTGTGTATGTATGTATGTATGTATGTATGTATGTATGTATGTATGTATGTGTGTATGTATGTGTGCGTGCGTGCGTGCGTGCGTGCGTGCGTGCGTGCGCGCTCGCGCGCGTGTATCTCTCAACAGAGTATATATGTATATACTCCTATTGATGTATATGTAGGTATAGGTACACGATGGTGTACACGCGGTCGCTGGTTGGCGGAAGAAGATTCGGGACCGATTGCCGAAAAACGCGATACGCAATTCAACGCGCGCAATAAACATGCGCGCGGCTCTCTTTCTTTCGCGCTCATGCTCCTTCGTGTTCCCGTTGTGCGAAGCCCAAAGTAGAGAAATCCATTTCTCTCCGCGAGGAAATAAAAAAAAAAAAAAGAACAAAAAGCAACGACACACAAAATCCAAGCGTGATGTAAAAACGTAAATAATAATAATACGCAACAAACACACACGCATCGCGCACGTATTACATAGAATCGTTTGATATTGCACGCGGGTTTCCAATACACACGCAGTCGGGATTAACACGTACATGCATACGCGCGTTCATTTCACACCCACACGTCAATGCGAGAACGACATTTAACTGGAAAAACGAAGGCAAAAAAAAATAGAAAGAACACAAAGATGTACTTGCCGGCAAAAGCAAAGATTCGTCAAGTAGCAACATTCTATTCGTGATCGCGCCATCGCCATTAACGCGATGTGGTATATAACGCGGTTACGAAAATACCAGCGCGCATCCAGTCACAAACACTTAATCCATCACGCACGACGAGGAAATCACGTAATCCCGCCGAACGAAAGAAATGTGATAATTTGAAACTTACTCGTCTCCGTCCGGACAGATGCCAGTGGTCTCGTCATACTTGGTGCAGTAATTGTCGGCGCTGTAGTTGAAGGTGCGGTCTCGTTTTCTTACCGGTCTGCGTCTTCTCTGGTTCATAAAGTGCCAGTTGAAACACGTGAAAGGCCTGTGTTGCGTGCATTTGCGTTGTATGAAGAGAGGGCACTGCTCGACGCGGAATTCCTTCAAGTATCTGGAATGCGAATCCACTGTGCTAGACATTATTTTCGTCAGAAGTTCCAGTGCCTTTCTCCGCTGCCTTGTCGCCGCGTCGTCGTCGTCGTCGCTCATACATGTATTTTTGCGTATCGTAGGACGCGCGCCGCGTCGCGTTATAGCCGCGTTCGTTGCTCGCGACTCTCCCGTTCTTTTCCCTGTTTCTTACTCTTTCTCCCCCCCTCTCGTTCTCGCGCGCGCGCGCTCTCTCTCTCTCTCTCTCTCCCCCCTCTTTTTCTCGCACTCTCTCTCTCTCTCTCTCTTTCTCACACGTTCGCGCGCGCACTCTCTATCGTACTCTCTCACACGCACTCGCCTTCTTTCTTCCCCTCTCTCACAAATCGTTCCTCTTTTTATCTCCGTCTCACTTCTGCTTTCCCCTCCTAACCGCACTGTTACATTCTCTTTATACTAGATTCTCTAATTCTCCCTTTCTCTCTTTCTCGATACAAATTTATTTTCTTCGCGCTGCACTTCGCGGCGACGATCCGCGCACTTTCCGGCACCAAGCGATCACCTCGTTACGTCTTCCTCGCTCACTCCATCTCGCTCTTTTATTCATCGTCTTTCTCTCTCTCTCGCTCGCTCGCTCACTCTCATTCGCTCTCCTCTTTCTCTCACCACACACACGCAGTCACACACACACACACACACACAAAGCACGCACGCGCGCGCGCGCGCACGCCCGCTCGCTCGCTATATTTTTTCGTTTCGAGATATCGGCGACAGATATACGGAGCGCACGGACATACAACGCGCTCCGCCGCGCGAGTTACCGCACAGGTCTTTCTCGGACGCGCGATTCGGCTCCGTCGGCGAGAGCTACTTACGTGTAATGATTCGCCTTTTCTGACTGAACTGTCAACAAAGGTTTCGAGTCAGACTTCATCTTGAATGTAACACGAGCCGCCGACCAACCGCGCTCGTGCACGAACACACGCACTAATACGTATGGTGTACGCCACCGACCGACAAGGTACACCGTCTCGATCACCACCACTGCCACGGCCACCACCGCCACCACCTCCACCGCCGCTGCCGTCGTCGTCGTCGTCGTCGTCGTCGTCGTCACCGCCGCCGCCGCCGACGCCACCGTCGCCGCCGTTTATTGTTGCCGTCGTTGTTACGGCCGTCGTGTAGCCTCGTTTGTTCGTTGTTTCACCGTTGATAGTCCCGTTGCCGTTCGCGCTCGCTCTCGTCCATCTCGCGCGCCGCCCTTCCCCCCTTACTCCGCTCACCCTTTTGCTCCTCTTTCCCGTCTTTTCTGTGAACGCGCTTGTTGTCCCGTCCGTTCGTCCATCGGCGTATCTTATTGGATGAGATATGCAGGCCGCGCGGTGCGCACGATGCACGATGCGTTCTACGTGCCCTCGCGCTCCAATCGCGAATGCTCTCCTTACGTCACGTGACACGGCGGCTTTCAAGGTCATTGATGTTTTGGTTCACTTGTAAACAGGCGATCAAGCGGCAAATCGGCAATTCGCGATTATTTGTGACACTCGGCCGAATTCACTGCTACGGTACGTATTAAATCGAAGATATCGTCTTTGTTTGGTTATTTATTTATTTTTGTTTTGCGACCAAAACTAGTCTAGTTCTCCAACTACCCTAATGGTCCGAAGCCCGTGCTCGAATATGTATATTTGTGGCTTCGACTTTTTTTCGGAGCCGACTTCTCGACCGAATTTATCGCCTGGGGGGTGGGGGGATGAGCGACGCACGTTATTTCCTCTCTCGTTTCTTCGAAAGTATGAGAGACCCCGTACACCCTCCTAACTAATTTTAAAATATTGCGAAAAAAACTTCTCGGCCAGGAATTAAACCTGGAATCTCCGGCTTTCTGTGTCGGAGTCTCTCATATATGTGATGCAAATATAGCATCCCCTGAATTTAAGAATTGAAATTTCAGTTCGAAACTCTCGTGTAAAATTTTACACATATATGTGTAAATATATGTGTACACATATATATATATATATGTGTGTGTGTGTGTGTGTACAAAATACGCGACAAACATTCAGCGTATGGCTCTCATTGACCGAAAAATTCACATTATTTCCTAAGTTTTAGATGTTTTTTTGTCAGATCACTAAAAAGTCAAGTGACGTCGGGTACGCGCGGATAAATTATCGCCAAATACAATCCTCACGACATACGTATATTGTTGTCGGCGATTCGGAGTCCACACTTAATATCGTCAACAGTTTACGTTAATACGTTACATAAGTAAAAATTATATTGATTGTATTTTAATTATAAAGAAAGAGAGAATACTGTATTTATAGCCGGGAAGAGAGATAAATAATATGAGACAATTGAGCGACATTGCTCCAGTCTGAAATTTCGGCGTTTATCTGAAGGATAGAGACACGTGTGTGTAATACACTTATTTATACATAGTGCTTTTTCAGTTCTCGACTCAGTTCTGGGTTATTAACATCTATTGCAATTTTATTAGTAAAATAAAATGTACAATGATACGTTCAAAAAAGGACATTTAAAATATTTTACGAAATGTTAGATATACATTTTCCAAGCCTATTTTCGATGAAATAAATTATGGGAGTCGCGCAAGATTATATACCGCATATATTTATATACTGTACACACACGTATTATAAAAAAAAAAAAAAAAAAAAACAAACAAACATATTTATCAAAATTCTAAAGTAATCTTAAGAGTGTAAAGAAACTAAATCAGTTAATACAATTTATTAATTATTAGCTTTCTATTGTTATGTGCGATGGAAGTTCACAAAGTATTTTTTTAAATATTTTATCGCCTTAAATAAAATTAATTATCGTACACGATAAGATGGTATGTTACGCGTTATGTAATATTTAATGAGTACAATTATAAATCTATTAATTTTCTGAATCTTGACGAGTCGCCGCATAGCGTCTAGCGTATTTCATAAAATAAAAAAAAAACACAAGGTATTAATTAAAGAGTAATATTACACAGTAACAAGTTCGTCATTTATACAATTATCTATCTATATATATATACAGTACATGTCAATACGAATGTTCACAGTTGTTTAACATGGTGTCGAGGGAAGAGGTTTTTCGCTACTCTTATTGCACTAATATCTAGAATAATTTGGTTTTCTCCCTATATATGTATGTATAATCTTTTTGCTTATAATATTTTTAAAAATCATGGTGTTAATATAGCGAAATCTTGAAATCTTGCATTTATAATATATGTTTCTTGAAACCGATATTTGCGCTCCCCCCCCCACAATAAATTAGCTAATATGAATTTTGATGGCGAACGAGTAAGTGGTACGTACTTGACAAGTAGTACCTTGCGTAATGTTTAGATAAAATTCTTTATATATCTGCGTGATTATAATTTTTTACCGCGAATGTAAACAACCACAATTCACTGGGAGAATTTAATATATATCTCGATCTCTCCGATACGCATATTCATTCTTTATCGTGATAAATCCGTAACACGATCGCGCGCGCGCGTTTTTTTTTCGAGAACGCACCTTCCGAAAAGTTTTTCTCACACTTTTGATTAAATTTGAAAATTCATCGACAAACATCTCGATTCGTACGCTAATCAAGAATCTGCGTTGCTTCAAGTGAAAGTTGAATTAATTCGATCTTATATTTTGTATTACGTATTTTTCCGTTAAAATGGCAAGATTATTCTTCTCTAATCCTCTAATATTTCGTTCGGCTGAAGTTGCAATTCTTTTCTGTTTTTTTTTTTTTTTTTTTTTTTTTTTTTTTTTTTTTTTTTTTTTTTTTTTTTTTTTTTTTTGGTTTTTTTTGTTGTTTTTTTTTCATCTTTCATATACATACCCTTTATAAATAGAACAACGAGATATAAACCATTAATTTCGGCGTGTAATAACGGCGGATTTCATTTAGACGGTTGTTCCGTATGTGCTGAACATCACTCTGGTGGTATCTGTGTCAAGCGTGACGTCCTCCGGAGACGCTAGGTCAACTTTTATAGATCCAGAGTTGTTTCGTCTTCGTGTCATGCCACCGCCCCAATTCGACAGGGTCCAATGATAGGTCTCGTTTTCCTTTTCGGCGTTCGCCGCGGCGATCTCCTGCGTTGTTTCGGTCTCTTTCTCGAGACCGGTCTCGATCGAGACGGACGATTGCGACGCGACGGAATCGAAACTGGAATCACCTCCGCCTCCTCTGTACCTACTCACACATTCGGTCGCCATCTCACCGGGGGATTCTTCGATGGCTCGTAAGATATTCTGACATATTTCCGAGTCGAGAGGAATCGGATCCTCCGAGTCCCGATTGTGTATGGTCACCGCTATGTGGGCCGGATGCGGAATTGGCAGAGGTATTACTAGCTTCTCCGCGCTATATGGACGAATTTCGCGTTTCCACGGTTGCCACCTTCCCTCCGAATTGTTTTCGTTTGTCATCGTGCGTCTTCGAAGTTTCGTGGAAGTCAATAAACCGCTGGTATCGCTACAAATTATTTAAAAATTGCGTATTCAATATTCTTATAACAAAACACTTTATGTTGAATTCTCTCTCTTTCTCCAAATAAATAAATAAATAGTTTATTATTTTTTATTTAGTAAAAAATAGTTTACTAAATAAATAAGTAAATAAACAAGTTGATGCAAGATGAATAATTACCATCGCTTGTCGGATTTCCTACTGCTACTGGCTTGCTTGGCTCTCGGATTGAAGGCGGATACTTCGAGATACGGACTGTGTACTTGAATATTTCCGCGTGGTGCGTAAACAGCGCCAAGCAAATCGGGCCCGTTAATGCCACCGAGCTCGGTGCTGTGAACCATATCCGTGTAACGCGACAGATCGACTCCCGAATGCGGTTCTAATCTGAATTTTGTGTCGGAATCATCGAGCGGTTGTAGAAAATCCAAACTGAAAATATCGGCGTACATAAGACCCGCCAAACCCGCCCAGTCGCACACTCCTAAACCTTTGTTCTCCCAGAAATCTTCCTCGTTACCCGGTAATCTCGCAAAAACGTGAGTAGGATAGAGACGTTCCAGCATCAGCGCTCCTTGCTGTATAACCACCTATAATGTTATTACATTCACGTTTGTATCAACGTTCGTTCGCGATTGAATAACGAGTGCCGCAATCATTCGCGTGTCACATAAATTATATTAATTACATAACAGAACGCATGTGTGAAATCATGTGCAAAAAAAAAAATTATTTGCAAAACCTCTCAATTACCTTCAAGTCAAAAGTGGTCAATTTTATTTTACTTCTCACTGCAACACCGAGACCTGTTTGTAAATTTTTTCTTCGACGATCCAGTTTTTCATGCAGCACGGCAATTAAATCTTTGGCTTCTTTCTCAAGCGATCTGTACGGATCTTTTGTCTTTGCGAGACTCGCGGCAAACGGACCGAAACACGCCTCGACAAATTGAGTAAAATCTCTTTGCGGTTGAGTAATTAATCTCTCGATTTCTTGCTGAAAAGCCAGCAATTCGTCCAGTTCTAATTTTGCCTCGAACGCGGCTAATGCTTGTTCCGCTTTTATCTGACGAAAATGTATACATTTCAATTAGATTTTATAAGCAAGTTCGTTCAAATATCGCAGTGTGTACACAAAAGCGCAATACCTACTTGATAATAATAATCCGAAGCTAAACCCGGTCCAGCTATTCTCTTTACGACGAAGCTGTCGCTTGCTGGTATCCGACCTCTATTCTTGATCACCAAGTGGAACATAACTGTATCCCAGAATACTCTGACCCAATAACGTATCACAGCAACTGCGAACAATTACAAATTTAATTTTTAAAATTTTGTTTTAAAAGCACTTCATTATTAGTTGAACTCGACATTTTTATTTACTTGTAAGTATCACGAATGAAATAATCGGACACAGAATAAGAGCTACGAATAGCGCCGCTATCGGTTGTAAACATCCTTGAATACCGATGTTCCAAACTAATGCCTCTATCACCACGAGATAACGATTGCGAGTCGGTTCGGGACTATCTAGGTCCATGATAAGTGCCATAAACGCGTGCAGCGCCAACGTGACCAAAGGCATCCTGTCGATAAGAGTTAACACGAATTAAATAGCTGTTCAAGAATATTAAATGAGAAGAAATATATTTTAAAAATATTAAATGAAGGAAAATCAGTGCGCGCTAACCATAATACCGCCGTGAGAGCAACAATTAACGAACTGACACTCGCTAAAACGCAAACCGCCGGAAATACGAACAGTATGATGAGCGTTCCTAGCAGACCCTTCGCACCGTAATTCCATAGCCTGTTTAGATGTCTGGTCATACCTTTACCGATGAAACCTAAACATTATTATTATTATTATTAGTGTTATTTAATTATTGTTGTTATATCCAATACTTTTTTATGTAATTATTTTAAAATACGTATGTCCACTGAATAAATTTTCATAAATTTTTAGTTACATGTAATAAAAAGTATGAAAAAGCAAAAAAAATTACCTGTGTCCGGTTCAGTTTCAAAATGTGTTCGACTTTTACTGATATGTCTCCAAAGAGCTATCAATCGAGAACAAAGAGTAGGCATCTGCGACGACTTTCTCGGGAATAATGTTCCATTTAGTTGACTCAATTCCAGATCGGGAGTGAATGGTTGTACCAGCAGCAAAGCGCGGAACGACACTGGACTGCACCACGGTACGGCTACGCCCAATAGGAACATCGCATTCCAAGTCCAACACCACGTCCTGGCGATGTAATTTATCCACCGCCACATCGGCCACCTTTTACACACCGCGGTATTTTTATAATATTGAACATCAAAATCATATCATTGTTCAAATTTCGATACCTTGTTGTGGTTGTGTGTAAAATTTCTCTTTCGACCAGAAAAACAGGTTGGCTAGGATCAGCGCGCGGCGTCGTGATAGAAGTCGGAGTGTTGCTTAACACAGTCGGAATGATTTCGGACTGACCTTGAAAATTGCGTCTTATTATCCAGTTCTTCGGTAGCCAAATTTGCGTTGGCCATTGAAAAGTCCTCGTTGGTGTTTTGACCTTTCGTAGTTCCTTCAAGAGAACCGGTTCTCTCTGAAAATAGATCAATTCTTGTTTTTTAGCCAATTCCGCGGACAAACAGGATGAAACAAACGAAAGACGACGTTATATACCTCTTTCATGAAAATCAAATCGCGATTGAGAAAGTATACTGTTTGCGTGAGATTCTGTTGATTGCAGAGCGTGAGAGCTTCTTCGTGAGCGCTCCACTCGCACTCTTCGATAAAATTTTCCTCGGCTTCTCGCATACGATCGCGCATCCATGGCTGTATTCGCGACAGGATCGGATGTTCAATCTCGATGCGACGTCGTAGACATGCTTTGGTTTGCGACAGTTTCCGTTGCACGTTCTCTACCGCGCGGTGCATCAACACGACTGACTGCGCCTGTTGAACCAGCAGTTGAGGAATTCCCTCGCCTAGCGCAAGTATATCCGGATGCGACAATATATTTGAGTACACCCTTTGTAAATATTCACGCATTACTGCCTCGTTAACTTCCTGAAAATATCATGACAATATATATATATATCAAGAACTTTTATATGTATTTAAACAAAGTATACACTTACTGACAAAAGTTAAGAAACAAAGTGGTATTTTTAACATTAAATCGCTGACCAAATAGGACGTCGCATATTATTTTTGAAGTCGTTTCCGAATAAATTTGAATTTCAACGATATATATAAGGTCTTACGAGCCGAACGCAGGATGTTTGTGCGAAAATATGCACGTATATATATATACAAGGTGTTTGATAAGTATTGTCTCACCGCTCGTAGGTAGGTAGAAGGGGTTATTCTAAGACGAAAAGTCCTATACCACTTTGGAAAATTCGCAATAATTAACGAAATATTAATGAATAAAGATCCGCTAATCAGCGTGCATCCAGAGTAAGGACAGCGTAAGGACAGCCTAGTCTTTCGTGCCGTAGCGACAGAATGGGAGGAGCTAATAGAATAACATGTATACACAGCGCGTCAGGAATTCGAAGAGTAGGCGCGGGATCGGAGAGCGGTTGCTCGCCAACAAGCGCCAAGACTGGGCTGTCCTTACGCTGTCCTTGCTCTGGATGCACGCTGATTAGCGGATCTTTATTCATTAATATTTCGTTAATTATTGCGAATTTTCCAAAGTGGTATAGGACTTTTCGTCTTAGAATAATCCCTTCTACCTACCTACGAGCGGTGAGACGGTACTTATCAAACACCCTGTATATATATAATATACATATATGTACATATATACATATTCCGAATAAATTCAAATTTATTCGGAAACGACTTCAGAAATAATATGCGTATATATATATGAATATATATACGTGTTCACAAAGTAAATTTTTACAAATGAGTTATTTAAATTGATATTTCAATTCATCAAATCATATAATAAATTGGAATTTACTTTCATGCTTCACAATATTTTTGATCACTAACAATATATATATTTTTACATTAAAGTTTTGTAAATAACTACTTTGTTTTTCAACTTTTGTTAGTAAGCGTATATTAAACAAAGTAGTTTGCTTACTCGTTCTATTTCTTCGTCCGGCTTTTTTTGTGCTCTCAATTCGGATATCAGTCTTTCTCTGAAATGAAGAAACCAGCCTCTTGTCTCTCTCTCCAGAATCGCGACAAGCGTCGGCAAAGCCTTTCGGATTATATCTCTGCTGAATAATCTGAGATCAACCGCGGCTCCACCGGGCGTTCCAAATACGAAAGGAACGGAAACGGGTAATAGTTGGGACGATTCTCTCTCGACTTCGAATTTTTCCATGGCTGCTCGACGAAGTTGTTTTCGTATGAATCCGCAAAGTAATTCCAGCGAATCTTCATATTCCGGCTGAGAAACAACGCAACGGATGTAGTAAAAAACAATAGTTCAATAGCATAAAACGCGAGTAAAGATCGTATCTTGTGACAAAAAACAACACGCTTATCTAAAATTAAAAAAGTTAGCTGAAATATCCATGAAAATATTATATTGTGTAACGTCTCTTACCCTGCAGACCAATTCCGCCACCAAGTACCGACAACGTTCTTCCCTAATTTTACCATCTAGATTGTGCGCCTGAAGCGACGGTACGCCGATTATAATATCTGTAAGGTATATATATATATATATGTGATATGTGCGTGTGTATATACATATATATATATATATATATATATATATATACACGTATATACTCGTACATTCACGCGGATATGCAAGTCAAACGCGCGAAGAAGATGGACCAACTACTCACCGAGAAGACGCAGAAGCCCCGTTAACAAGGCTTTAAGAGATTGTGAGACGCTGAAGCAGTGAGAAACTAATCTAGCCCTCGCCGTAACTACGAGAAACCTAGTGGCCAGAGCGAGATCCGTGAGCAGCGTGTCGCGTCGTCTGTCCCGACCGCGCTGCAGAAGACCGCTCAATCGCCATCGATGAGTTTGTCCGGCAAAGTTGATCGAATCAACTTCAAACTCTCTGCAAGAGAAGAATCGCCGATCAGCCGCGACGACATGCCGATAAACTTTTTTTTACACGCGACGGCCAAAGTTTATACAAAGCGTAGTATCTCACAGAAAAAAAACAACACAGAAGAATAGTATAAAAGACACAAATAAGATAGCCATTGTGTTATATGTAAAATGTCTCGTTGCTTAAAATGATTTACACAGCAATATAATTAACTCGCTTTCTAGCTTCATTAAAGATACACATGTTTGAGTAGCGTTTCTAATTCTATACTGAATTTATACTTGCCCTATTATATATAGCCCACACACACGTACTTTTGTTAAAGTTCGTGTTTTTTTTTTTTTTTTTTTTTTTTTTTTTTTTTTTTTTTTTTTTTTTTTTTNTTTTTTTTACAGCGGTTATGTACAAAAAGGCAGAAATCTAAATCACCTAAACTAAAAACATTAGCTGGGAAATATACAAAAAAGTTATTTGCAAAATCGTGTGTACCATGCAAAAAGTAATAGGACGCGATGATCGATCTTCAGTTTCGACTTCGTGTAAAATATATATATCATCACCTAGTCATTTGAGATTTATCTCTTTCCAACACAATTATGTAAATAATTCACCGAGCGTTGAGGATAAGTTAAAATAGCGGTGCGTACAGAAGACCACATGCTGTGAACGCGACGTTTCTCGCGCAAAAAAGAAAAAACCACAAGTTAGTCACGAGATTGCTGTATAAGATTTCACTTATATCAACTTGTTTTTTTTTTTTTTTTTTTTTTTTTATGAACCTGTCTTTGTTTAACATATATATATGTATATATATGTGATTGAGTTTACATTTGAAATTATTATGTGTCGCTACACTATGTGGCACACGTACCCGCATCTTCGAATGCTCTCCAACTGAGTGGCATTCAGCTTCTTCGGCTTTCCATATTTATCCTTGTGTAAGCTTTAGCAGAAATCGTTAAAATATATCAGATATATACACACACGCACAAGATATTAACGTATTGCTTTATCTTATTCCGTAATTATATGTATCAAGAGAGAATTTCATTTTGTTCATCGAGAAAAACGTATAAAACAAGAGACAAATTGCAAAATTCTCATTTTTCTTCGTCTCCTTAAAATTTTCGTCGAATCAACATATTTCTGTGTTCGATTGTCAATTAACAGATTCTTCTGCGATTTATTCGCGACGCGGGTATATGTATATTTATCCATTTTACGCTACACTCTCTATATCTTACTTACTCATTCATTCACTGACACACACACACACACACACACACATCTCTTTTTCATGCCGTTACAAGAGTGAGATATACAACGACTAGACTAAGAACATGATGATCAAACGACGATCTATCTAAATAAGCAATCGTTAAACTATCCGCGCTCATTTACATGAGAATACACATACCCGCGCTCCCTAATACTCTCCAGTTGTTTGTTCGTCAATCTTCGGGGCTCGCCCTTGCTATCCACAGCTACGGCATCGAGCTCGTCGAAACTAGGCGCTACGAAGAGGTCTCTCAGATGATACTTCTTTCTCGCCAGCGTGTCTTCACCCTCCGTGCACGAAGACAAAGGCGGGGGCAGAACGATGGGAAATGTTCGCCAGTGGTAAAGAAACTGCTGGGCAACTTCTTTGATGTTGTGTACCAACGCCTCCACCTCCGCTGGAGCGCCTCGCAGATGCGACGTGTCGAATTCGACCGGTTCTTTCTAAAATGATATGTGAGTGTTGGTTTTTTTTTTAAGAATTTTTAATTTTTAGATTACACATAATTTAAAACTCTCTCATTTGTTTCTTTCCGCTCGATTTCGATAAATTTACAAAACAAACGAGTTTTTACTCGATACGAAAAGACAATCGACACGTGTGTCAGGTCAGGATAAGAAAGTATTAACAAACGTTTCGAGAGATTGCGTGTTTTATACCTCGGGTTGAAGCCCATCTGCGTTCTCCCGATGATGCGGCTGCTGGGCATAGGCTTGATGATTCGGTCCCGTGTTAGCGGCGTTCGCGGAAGCTGAGTTTAGATTGTGGGGCATCTCGCGCGTGAAAAGCGTGCGCGGCGGCTGAGGTCAGCTGCCCCGTATGCCGACTATCTCTTCATAAACCATGCTGCTGGTGACCATCATTTACCATCCCACGCTGAAAATCAAACGCGAGAAATCGTTCGAGAGTGCACTGGAGTGAGGAGTTGAGAACTGCTTCTTCAGAAGAGAGAATCTAATTTCATTCCACAGTTTCACAACGAAGGAGGGGGAGGAGGGGAGCGTGTGCGTTCGTGTACCCGCCGCGCCGAGAAAATATTCATTTTTTCTTTTCACATAGAATATACACGCGGCTTTGATGAAAAACCTCGTCCCTTCGACGTTGCGATTTCAACGCAACGAGAAAGGGTCGTGAAGAATATAGAATTTTATGGGGATAACGATATAAAAATATATACTTCGCGAGAGCGAAGCCGCAAGAAAACCGCGCGTTGTCATTCATTGCGTGGCTGCAGCACGCTTTGACCGAACGCGCAAGACCCTATTAACCGATTATATCCCATTAAACGTTTAAGATTCTGAACATTCCGCTTTTCTCGCCGCGCGCTCCCACAAACCGTCGCATACATTTCGAATTATACGTCAGAGATTTTTTGCGCAATTTACGTCGTGTGACTTTTTTCTTATTGTCTTTTTTTTTTTTTTTTTTACGAAACAATAAGATCCGCGGCAATTTCACGCGATATGCAAAAAAAGGTAGACGATATTGCGCGCGCGAAATTTCCAGATATTTCTAAACCTGTAAATTTATGCGGGAAACAAAAAACCGACTGACAAAAAGTTGATTGTTTTCTATATGAATAAAAGACGATTTCTCTTTCTCTCTCTCTCTCTTTCTCTCTCTCTCTCTCTCTTTCTCTCTCTCTCTCTCTCTCTCTCTCTCNCTCTCTCTCTCTCTCTCTCTCTCTCTCGACGAAAGTATCGCGATCGCAACTTGCACTCATGCGAAACACTTATGTGGGGATCGAAATTATTTCCACGACACTTGAACCGAAATACCTATCCGGCCTTACCTCTCGCGCGAGGCGTGTTTCTAAAGGGACGGAAAAATATATAAAACTCCGCATCTGAACTTGCACTCCGTGTATGCGCGGCTCGTCATTCCCCACAAAGTCCTCGCGTGATAAAAGTGAAATTTTAATACACCTGCTGGTTATTGATTCGCATCGTTTCGGTTCGGAGGATATTACATCGCCGGCTGTGTCGCCCGTGTAGAAAACTTTTGCACGGAAAAAGAATGCAGAAATTTTGTTCGAATTTTATTTCTTTGATTAAAGAGCGAGACGTTGATCCGCGACACTTTTTGTTTATTTGTGTCTTCCCTCAAAGGAAGCCACGTATATGATAAAAAAATTGTAGAGGTAAAAATATGTAAAGCAAAACTGCATTTATCATATCCGATAAAGTCTCAAACGAAAGAAAAAGAGAAGACCGGAAAATAATAAATAATTCAACGGAATAAAAACTTTTTAACACAATATATCAACCGTGTTTTCAGATTCCTATTGTGGTCTGTGCAATCACACTTAAAATTTTAAACAAATAATAATTTGACTCGCGTAAAACAATAAAATCGCGGAAAGCTTTTTGTTGCGCTCGTGCTTGTGGAGAAGATAGAACGGAAAAAATCGCACTGCACCGAGCGAGGTTGTACGTCGCCACGAGTAACAAGACGGAGCGAATGTGCGAAACACACAAAACGCGAGATGCACGCGAAATATTCGCGATTCCTTTCGCGAATGTATTTTTAAGTAGGTTGTACGCGGGACGGTCGCAAGCATGCCTTTTGACCTAGTTCGACGGCTCGCAAGCTCGCGTAACCTTAAAACGAACGCCAGAACAAACCATTGCAGTCGATCCGATCAGCCTAATGCCAGCGTATTCGTCATGCGTGATCGCGTGTGATTTCGCGTGCAGCACGCACGATTTCCAAGAGAGAGTTTTTTCTCGAGCGATATTCTTTGTCAGGCCAAGAATAACGTCTTTTTATGTGAGCAATATAAATTAACCGCGATATTAATTAAGAAAAAAAACTGCACGAGACAGTTTTTTATTTTTTTACATAATTTTTATTATATAACACATGTAGGTTTATTTGTAATGCGTGAATTACACTTTCAAAAAATGTAAACCTGTGACTTGTAACGTAAAAAAAAAAAAACATTATTTGCTCCGAAAAAAAAACTACTACAGAAAAGAGAAAACTACCCCAATAGTCAAATTGTGAAAATATTGCACAAAAATGGTATCATGAATAACGATCCTGCAATAATTGCACTAAAATGATTCGCCATAATGTAACAGTTTTGTCGAAATAAAATTTTGTAAATAATATTTGTCAAAAATTGCGAAACAGTCATTATGCATTTGCATAAGTATATATATGAATTAAGTTGATTTCTTCATATGCAATTATATTTCTACATATTTTAATCATCACGTAGCTGAAATTTTTTTCTCAATTATTAGACAATTTCTTTGTGAAATTAATTTTGCAAATATACTGCTAAGATGATTCGCCATATCGTTATTCTTTTGCCGAAATAGTATTTGGAAAGTAATTTTGCAAACAACTACAAATATTTTATAAAAGATCAATGTTTTTACATCTATTTCTTAAAATATATCTGTATAATTGCAAATTACAATTTTAGTGCAAGATTTTGTCACATAATTTTGTAAATGTTTTCCCATCAGGGTATGGACTTCACTTTCGAAAAGCGGCGCGGCAACGACGACAAGTAAGTCGGCAGCGGCTGTTATCGGACGATAAAAGCGTGTATATACGCACATGTGATCAATGGAATCCATTCATAAACCAGAGAGACGAGTAGCACGAAGATGCTCCGCAGGAATGTCGTGTACACTATTACGTCCACTGTAATCCTCCTACAGACACACACACAAGAGAGCTACGTCTTTTCTCTTCTCTTTTCCTGTCAGATATATTTTATACTCTTGCATTGAATCAATCATTTTGTATGCTGCTCATCCGCATCATTTTATTCCGTTTAATCAGTTTCATGAAAAGACCGCGTTTTTTGTTTCGATTCCTCTTCGAGCAGAGAAACGTGTTCGAGAGTGTGGGCGTCTACTGACATAGAGTATCATTCACACGAGATTCGCAATTGTGTTGTGTACGTGTGTGTGGGCGCGCGGCTATAGCCCGATGATATTTGAGAACGGAATCCTCCAATTCACACACTCAACAACTCATCTTCTTTATCCGCGTAACTTTGCATTATACATAGAACATCTAAAAGAAAAAGTGGCACGCGCGAAAGAATTCACGTGTTATCTTTGTACATATAAGGTTTGAAAAGTAAATTGTTCGCTGAAATAATTCTTTCGAGTTCTCGAGAACGAAACAAAGTGTGACGATGAAAAAAAAAACCAATAATTCGAATCTTATCTTCGTAAATCTAAAAAACGTGTCTTGTTCAGAGACATTTATACAAGGATCACACGAGGATTGTAATACAAATGTGTGACTCAGCGTAGAGCGGTTAGAATTGATCGATTCACACGGCGCTTTAGAGATATTGAAATCTCTGAGATAATAGTAGCAAATACATGAATAAGTTGGAGAAAAAAAATTGCTTCTGTCAAAGAAAGATTACGATGTTGTATCAATCGATTTGAACGAAATTTATAGGATCGATAGATGACTATGTGGAGTATTGCAGAGTAAAGTAATAAGACGCAATTCTCAAGCATTCGCGAGAAAATCGAACTTGAAAATTTCGAGTTACCTTATGAAGATATGAAATAGACCGTTTAATCGAAGAGCGTGTAGCGTACTAGGTTAGATTAGTAGTGTCGACGCTGCTGATTCGAGTCTTAATATACTTTTTTTTTTTCAAACTTCTACAATACACTCTAAATGTAAATACAGTAGAACCTCCCAAAGCGTATACAGTCGAGACCGACGAACCCTTCAAAACGTATACCTACTTCCCCTATTCCCTCACTCTTTAACTCACGCATGCGCAAAGACTTACTTGGTATAAATGCGCAAGCGCTAGCGCAGGTTTGGTTATAACCTTACTTAGTACCTTTAGTGATGGGAAAACGACGAAGGAGAAGATCTACGTTTTGAGAGTGGATTTGTATACGTTTTGGAAGGTTCTATTGTTAGCCTAATATTACATTTGTCGTACGACAAAGATTTTAAGTATGTTGATTGGTTATCAGAGAGTTTTATAAAGAACTCTATTTGATAGCCAATCAATATACTTAAAATCTTTGTCGTACGACAAATGTAATACTAGCCTAATACGTTTTTTTAATTTATTGCATATTATAAAAGTGCATTGTTTTGCATAAAAAAAATCAGTGATTTAAAAAATACTGTAAAAATAAATAGATTATCACTAATTACTAATTGTGTTTATAAAAAGTGGATAAATAAGTGTACGCAACATGTAAAAATATATGCAACATATTTTAAGGCACACACTTTTTTGTAATGTTTGTTGAACGTTATATCTTTGAAAAGTAGAGAACATTATATCCTTGAAAGGTAAAAAAACGTTATATCTTTGAAAGAGAAAAAAAAGAAAAGAAGAAACTGTGTTCCGAATCACTGCTATTAAAAATCTATACTTCACGTTACTGTACTATAGATTTCTGGTACTGGCAGTGACTTTCGGAACGTAGGATCGATAGGACAGAAAATGAGCAAAGAAGGGGAGATTTCCGTTACACTATGAAACAAGATTTCATCCATTTGGCCGCTAACAGCAAGAGTAGAAAAGACAGAAAAGAAGAAACGTGTGCAGTACTAATTAAATTGGAAGATAAGTTAAAATGGAAGGTGTACCTGGTTTTTCATCGAATGAATGTGATAGTATATCAATTCACAGTGACGAGTCGAAATTACAGTTAAAAGATGCTATTGTTTATCTGGAACAATTACTTTTGGAAAATGACCTCGTGGCCCAAGAATCATCTGAAACAATTTCCCACAAGGCAATACAAATTGGCGAAGAAATGTATGCATCTACCGTTGAAATGTTGGGTAATAAATTTTTTCTTGATACTGAAGAATTAATTGTGGCAGAATCTGATACCGTAGGTCAATTTGAAGAAGTACTAATACGAGAAAAAAGAATAGAAGAAGATGATTATTCCGATGAATATATGTTAGAAGAAGAAACGAAAGTAATGGATTACATTCCTTTAGAATATAAAATCAAAGTTGTTAATATGGCAAAACAGCATCCACATTGGAATCTCAAAACTCTACAGAAAAAAGGATGCTCACGTTTAAAAAACATAAAATGTTTACCCCGATGGGAAAAAGATATCAAACATGGAGGAACAAATATTGATAAATATACAATTATTAATTCATGGACATATGATCGTTTTGTAGAAGCTAAGAATAATTACCAACAAGTGACAACAAGAGATTTGCAACAATGGGCGTTGAGTGCTGCAAGTCAGTTTGAAAATTTTCCTTTTAAAGCATCAAAAGCGTGGATTCGAAAATTTAAAAGACAACACAGACTCAAACAACAAAAAATTACAAAATATGTATCCGCAAAAGAAGCTGCCACGATAGACGAGATATTGGCTGCAGCAGACATCTTCCGGAAACAAACAAGGATAATAATTCCTAATTTTCACAAAGATTTTATCATCAACATAGACCAAGCAGGTAAATAATAATAATTTCTTTACAAAATGAGACTGTCTTATTTATCAATAACATAAAATACAATGTAACTTTATAATTGACAATATATTTAAATTATTTGATTAATATGATTGTATGTTTCAGAATGTCAATATCAATCAACATGTGATAGAACTCTGGCAACACAAAGAAAAGCAGGTTTTGTACAAGACACAAATTTGAATAAAATCAGCCACTCGTACACAGCACAATATGGGATTACCATGTCCGGGAAAATATTACCGCGCGTATTCTTATGTTTACAAGAAGCAAAAGGAGTGTTCGATCCAAAAGTACAACAAGCTATCGATGAATTTCTTACTGTATGTACAAATGTCGTGGTAACATCCTCGAAGTCCGGAAAACTCACATCAAATCTGTATACACAATTTTTAAAAGAAATATTATTACCATATGTAAAAAAAGAAAAATTTCTTCTAATAATAGATTCGTGGCCCGGTCAAACTAATCCTGCATTGTATGACGAAATTTTTCTTGATGATGACAGTGCAGGAACATGTACTATTAAGGTTGTTCCTCCAAAGTGCACACCTTTATGTCAACCGTGTGACGTTTATTTTTATAGACAAGTCAACAATTTTATAAAGCGTTTACAGAATTGTTCGACTTTAATTGAACAAAACCGCGAAATAACATCTCATGAAGATTGCATAAAAATTCATTCGATCATACATCATCAATTGTCCGCCCCGAGTTTTCAAAATATGTTACAATATGCATGGTTTGCTTCAAAATTAACAAACGAAAGAGAGGTATTTATGAATGTCAACGAAGTATGTTTTCCAATAGATATTTTAAAGAAACTATGTGAATGTAAAAATACGGCGTTCATACGATGTGCACACTGTCAGGAAAATTACTGTTTTGCTTGTTTTTATGACAAATATCATCCTGCATTATGTATTGTTCCGTCTATTTCCAATAAATAAAACATGTTGTATATATTTTTACATGTTGCGTACTTATTTATCCGCTTTTTATATAAACACAATTAGTAATTAGTAATAATCTATTTATTTTACCGTATTTTTTAAATCACGGATTTTTTATGCAAAAAAATGCACTTTTATAACACAATAAAATAAAGCAATAAAATAAAAAAAACGTATTACTTACATTTAGAGTGTATTGTAGAATTTTGGCAAAAAAAAAAAAAAAAAGAAGAAAACGAGACTCGAACCAGCGGCGTGGTCGACACTACTAATCTAGTACGCTATACGCTCTTTGATTTAACGGTCTGTTTTATATCTTCATAAGGTAACTCGAAATTTTTTAATTCGATTTTCTCGCGAATGCTTAAAAAGTGCGTCTTATTACTTTACCCTGCAATACTCCATATAAATTTCGTCCAAATCAATTTGTACAACGTTGTAGTCTCTCCTTGTGAGTCGCGAAATTACGTAACGTGCCCTCGCGCGGACTCTTCGTAACCGCCACTGCAAATCCTTCGAATCAATAAATCAATTCGCGATTGTGTTCGCGTGATCGCGCGTGCTGCAAAATGCAAGAACGCGTGTAATTAATTGCACGATGATCGTAGGCGAATGCAATCGAATGTAATAATAAAAGTCAAAAATTAACAATATGTGATATACACACACACAGGGTTGCCATCAATTGTCCGGGGGAAAAGAGAACGGATAATAATCCTACCTAAGGGTAACGCGGGAGAAATTTAGTAAAATATTTTCAAGATTCATTAAAATTTCAGATAGTCATCACTCCGGACGCCTTCGAAAAATCCCGTCAAACGTCCCCACAGACACTTTAAAAAATAAGGCAGTATTCGGAGAAAAGAGAACGGATGGTAATCCTACACGCAGAATTATTTCAAGAACAATAAATAATATTTAAAAAATAAATAGATAGAACCAAATTTTTGTGTGATGACAATTTTTGCAAATATGTTGCGCACACAGGAGTTTTTTCTCTTTGTTATTATTTGAGAAGTATCCAAAGATTAGATTTTTGTTCCCGCGCGAGAGTCTTATGTTCCGCTCGTAGTCTAACGAACGAGATCCGGTAACACTAGAAAGATACGACACTCGAATCCAACTTGCCCTTTTTAATGCACACATGACACTCGGCGCCCTTCACTCCGGCTCTATTTTTTGTCTTCTTTGTGCCCTTCGTGTCGTTCACGACTTTGCACCCGTATGCACATCCTGTATGCGCGCGCACACACACACAGGTGTATACTCTCTTTTTTTTAACTCCACATTTTTTGCAACTAGTTGAAAGCGTAATATTTATTACACAATATGTATCGGACTAATTGCACGTAAAATTAAAAAAAATATTTACGAAGTATTTTTATCATATGTAAAGTTAGGAACTAATATATATTTAAAAACAATGAAATATATATTAAATATATTTTAATTGTTTTTAAAAAAATATATATTAGTTCCTAATAATTAAATATATATTAATTAATATATATATTTAAAAAAATGTTTTAAACAATTGAGAGTTATTTACGTTTGATATTTACACATATCTAATGAGTATTTCTTTAATAAACGCTCGGGTCATTTACTTCAAGTCAAACTAACTCAATAATAAATGAAGAAGAGACATCATTTTTTAAGCAACGTTATATATTTGAAGTATAAGTGGCTTTCCCGTCTACAAGATACCTATTGCACGTATTATTTCGTTGTACAAACGAAACGCCAATTTCTTTAATTGTCGAAAGCCGAGCGATGACGACCGATAAGAACTCGATGAGTATCGGTGTCATAGAAAGCGGTTTCGGATATACGTTTCAATAAAATTCGAAATCACCTCAATTCGAAACTCCTGTTATCCTTTTCCCAATAGTAAGAAACAATAGTGACAGTTACTGCCTACACAGTGTGTGTCTCGGAGAAAAGGGGAGAATGTAATTAATCAGCGAACGCAAAGTTCGCTCTAAACTACTCGCTCGGAGGAATTGTCACACGCGACAAACGTGTGTGTGATGCACGCACGTCTCTCTCCCGGAGAGATCCAATGACACGGCGTGTACGTACGTTCCGAACTTTACCGCACACATTCGAACGCGATATACACATATTGTCGCGACCAAATGTGACAAGAGAGAATAGAATGTAACGCGAAGAAGAAACGCAACAACGCGGGAGACGAGAATATGCGAAACGAGATACGTCCCCCCCCAACAGATGCCTGCTCTTCTTTCGCGCAATTGGCATCGGGCTCTATCTCGAAACCGTGGTTTCTTTAAGGCTCCTGTTTCCTCTGCGGCAACATTGTGACGTTAGAAGTGAGAAAAATCATTATTGGATTTTTCTCTCTCTCTCTCTTTCTCTCTCTCTCCCTAACGAGAATAAAATGGTTTTATCGCTTATCGACAATCGAAGAGAACAAAAACCTCTTTTGGAGAACGATGATGGTGATGACTTCTTGAGCGATTCACAGTTCGAGGACTCTCGCAGCGATGACTTTTCCGTCGATTTCTGCTTCCGCGTTTCTTTGCCGCGCACACATGTGTGACGCTCCAGTTCTCGGTGCGGACCGACGTGACGTCAGCGTAACGGCGCCGATGTTTTACAAGTGATTTTCGTAAGTCACGGTAAACGCACCGCAACCGCGCGCATTATCTCTTTTAACGATGAAACTAAATTCGCGATGATTTGTTCTAAAAAAAAAAAAAAAAAAAACAGTAGTGTTAATTCAAACTGATGACCGGAGAGCGAACAAAACGATGTTGTCTCTCAAACGCGATAAAATGCATTTAACAGAGAGAAATGCAAAATAAATCTTGTAAAACTGTTAATTTTACACGCGGTTTGCACAATACGGACAAATTGCAAAATACAAACCTTTTAAAAGCGTCAGATCGAATAAAAACGCGATTAATTCATTTGTCTCTTGTAACGTTTTTCTGTACATATGCTCGCCGCATTTGCGTCATCACGCACACCAGGATGTAATGCGACGCGCTTTTTTTATTCGACAATTCGAGAATTCCTACTCAAACGCTCTATACTCTCGAAAAGATAAATCCTTTCGCGCAAATATCCATTTTGTGGTTTTTCAAATCGGTTCTTTTTCCCCGGGATCTTCTCCCGCGTCACAAAGAGCAAACATTATTGGCGACTCCATGCGTCGCGCCGATGATGTTTGCGGACGCGCACCGGACATGCCATTTAATGTGGCCCGAGTTGAGTATAGCGCGCCGTGTCGTCGTCGTCGTTGTCGTTGTTGTTTTCACGTAAGTGCGTAAGTGCCGCGCACGTTAGGGTAGAACGAAAGAGGATCAATTAGTCAGCTCTCGTCGATGCGCACGTACGCGCATTACACGCACATCCGCCATCCCCGGGAATCGGTTTTTTTTTTTTTTTTTTTTTTTTTTTTTATCAAAGATGCGTCGAGACGAAGGACGTGCCTGCCGGACGTGCGGCGGTGACGAGAGGACAACGCCCCTGTAGGAACAACTCTGCACATCGAGACATCCGCGATACGCGGTCTTCTTTCTCTCTCGCTCTTTCTCTATCAAATCGATGACGATCGACGGCAACGAGGTCCCTTTCGCGCGCACCAAAGGTTAGTTGAGCAGGAACCGCATAGTAACGAGAGGTAATGGAAGAATAAATTATTCCGTTCGGAGTTACCCACGACACTCACGAGCGGGAATAATCGCTCTTGAGGACCGGATCGTGCCGCTGGGGAAGGTTGGTGGCTCCGCTCGAATTCGCGGTGGCGGCTCGTGCATTTTGTGAGTCATCCGGGAGAACGACGGGAGACCGAAATTCCTCCCGCTCGATCATCGTGAGAAAAAACAAAATACGTAGAGATTTGAGAGTCGAACAAAACAAAAACTGGAAAAATTCGATGACGCTCCAGTTTGACGAAAGAATATAATCGTGCGATTTTTCGCACGAAGATGTAATCAGTTAAGGTCTGCGATCTCTACGGGAAACCGAAGATGTGGGAAAGAGCGCGTACTAATTAATTTCGCACGATCTGATTATATTGCTCTTATCAAGCGGCAAAACGTCGCGACGCGTTTTCCTCTTTGTTAAAATTATTCAATTTCTTCTCTATCCACGGAGCGAAAAGCTCTTTTAGCGACGATCACATGTCAAAACATCGATGACAACGCTTTAACGATATCATACAGCAATAATTACGCGATCGCTGTATTTTTTTTTGCGGTGAAAAAATCGTGTGCACGACGAAGGGCGAAATTTCAAAATTCCTCAGCCCTTTTTGCACGATCGTTTTCGTTCGCGTCACCGTGTGTGAGAAAGAATAGAATATATAAACTTTACGCGCGTAATGTTGGTCCGAGTAAATCGCGTCCGGTCCAAAAACCTAATAGAAATTGCAACAATTTGCATCCCGCAAATTATCTCTGTAAAGAGAGAGAGAGAAGGGGAGCGGCACACTCCATTCGAGAACGCTCGCGACGCGAGGGAAATTGCAGTTTTGCGGAAGGGCTGCGGGAAAAGGAGCGTTGGCCCGGCGCGCGTTCGTTCGCACGATCTAACCTTGGCTCGCGCCGATCATCGGCCGACCGACTTTTTCGGATTCGGATCGGCGAGGATCCTCTCCGACGGGGAAGTCGCACGCGCGAGGACACGCGCCAGATCGCTTCTGGGTCATTCTTTCCGCGACGACGGAAATTTAACGCGCGGGATAACGGAGCGCGTCGCGCGACCGCCAGCAGCTGATTCTCCCGTCTTCCGTAACGTTGCCGAGAAGAAAACGCGCGAGGAAACTTTTCTCGCGTCGAAGATCCGCGCGGGGTGGTGGTTCTTTCTCGCCTAGACTAGGAGACTCCGCGATTTTTTACTTACCGTCTCTCTCTCTCTCTCTCTCTCTCTCGTTCGGGACTCCGGATCGTGACGCCCGCGCGTCGAGTCGTTCAACAACAAACACCACCAGTATTCCAGCGACGCGACGCCTCTCGCGACACAACCCGCTCTACTCTCTGGTCGAAACACGACGAAAAAACAAGCCACCCTCCGGGAAACCAGGCGAGCAACGGACTGATTTTTATCGAACCGTCCGCGGCGAAATGCGGCTCGCGCTGCGCCGAATCTGCCATCTCGCGACGATATCGCGCGCGACCTCGTTATCGCCATCGATGTAAGGAATACACCATGATGGAAGAATATACCGAGGAGCGACCGGAGTGACCGGAGCTCCGAGTCGCGCGGGAAAGGTTGGAGGATCATCGGTGAGGGGAAAGGTGCAGTTACTTCGGCAGATTTCGTGTCGCTTCGAGAGAACACTCGGTTTAAAAAAAATAACTAAATTAGAAGATTATTGGCTCTCTTCTTCTCTCTGCGTTTGTTTTATTAGACAAGCGCTTAATGATTATATATTGGGGTTTTGATTGGAGCATACACATTTTTAAAGCCAGTTCCATCACTTCTGTCAATTCGATCGAGCCAACGGAAAATCGTCAAATCGCGATCGTTGTTCGATCGAATTCGTCATCTATCAAACAAAGTTGAGTTTGATGTGCTGGAAGCGTTTAAAAAACATAAAATAATCTTAAAAAAACGTATCTTTTTCTTTAGTTTATTTTTTTCATCCGTCACGTGACTCATGTGATGCCGCACGAGCTGCCGCGCCGACTGCGTGGAGCAAAGTCAACTCCGATCAGGTTAGTGAAAAAACTACCTCGATAAGAAAAACACAAATGTCTTTAGCGACCGCATATTTGAAATTTGACAGAATTTGCATTTCACACAGACACGTTTCTCTGGATTCGACAAGAGAAAAACCGGCCGGATTCTGGACAATATGAACGGAAGAACGATAAGGTTATCAAAGTGTAGGTTCCTCATTGTGTGTCATTGCTAGTTGTCGGAGTAAACGATACATGTATTACGTATTCGTGGGTGACGAGAACGTTGACACACGATCGGAACGAGCAAGGGAAGACGAAAGACCGGTTCCGCTCTCACGATGACGGAGCGCGAACAGAATGCGATGTTTGCGCGCGTAGCGTCGGCGTTTTTTTACGGTCTGTCGTCGTTCATGATCACGGTTGTCAACAAGACCGTGCTCACGTCGTTCGCCTTCCCGTCCTTCCAAGTGTTAGGAATTGGTCAGATGTTCGCGACGATACTGGTGCTGTTCGTCGCGAAGAAGCTGCGCTACGTCGAATACCCCAACTTGGAAGCGGCGACGTTCACCAAGATCTGGCCGCTGCCGTTGATATACATCGGCAACATGATATTCGGATTAGGCGGCACAAAACAACTGAGTCTGCCGATGTTCACCGCCCTGAGACGATTCAGTATCCTCATGACGATGATCGCCGAGTATTACATTCTGGGCGTCAAGGCGCGCATGTCGATACAACTGAGTGTTTACACCATGATCCTGGGCGCGGTGCTGGCTGCGCTGAACGATCTCGCCTTCAATCTAGAAGGCTACATCTTTATTCTGTTTAATGACTTTTTTACCGCTGCTAACGGTGTGTATGTGAAGAAGAAATTAGATTCCAAGGAATTGGGAAAGTACGGACTGATGTATTACAATTCTCTGTTTATGCTCGGTCCGAGCATTTTGTTGGCCTGGTGGACGGGCGACATCGTCGCGACGTTGGAATTCCCCGATTGGACGAATCTGTTGTTTATTTTCCAGTTTTTATTGTCGTGCATAATGGGCTTCGTACTGTTGTACAGTATGCTACTTTGCACACTGTACAACTCAGCGCTGACCACCACCATAATCGGATGTTTGAAAAACATCTGCGTGACATATCTCGGCATGGTCATAGGCGGTGATTACATATTCTCGTGGTTGAATTTCGTAGGTTTGAATTTAAGTGTGATAGGTAGCTTGGTCTATACCTGGGTGACATTTCGCAAAAGAGAGACTCTGCAGCCAAAATACGCTTTGTTGACTGAAACTCAGACCAGTAAGATACAAGCCGTATGATTGTAACTGTACAAATATGTTGTAGAAATTTAAATTTGTACATACATATATGTATATATATATATATATATATCACAATGTGTGATGTATGGAATTTGTACAAAAAAAGAGCTCAATTTTAGGAGATATTCCTTCTTCAATGAGATAATTTGGTTGATCGTTGTGTTTAAATGTAAGACAAATTGTTAATACACACACATTTGTTCCTTTCTTCTTGTTCCTCTGTTCTGACTAACGAAGAGGTAATAAGGCATTTTCGTACTGGCTGTAATTACTAAAATTATCTCTGTAGTTGTTTTGTGTCACAAAATAATTTTTTATTTTTAGAAAGTTACGAAACTATGTGCAAAAAAAAAAAATGCTGCTGACAACTCGACTGTAATATGTACCAAAGTAATGTTATTGTTACCAGTTAAGTATACGCGCTAAGTTGTTGAAGAAATATTTAGGTCACAGTTAACGAGAACTAAGAGCATCGCCATAATAAAGTTAAAATGTAATGCGTGATTTGTACATATAGAATTACTACTTTTGTGGAAATAAAATTTATTTATTAACGAAACACAAGCAACGGCGCGACCAAACCTTTTTACCTTCCTTACTCGGTTTCAGGCAATTTCGCGACAACCCCGGCGAAATGCGAGGCGTTTCTGGAGGATTACGCCAAGAATCACATATCGTTATCTCTTCTGCAGCGTGCAATTCTCACAGTGGGCTCGGCAACCTTGTCGTTGACGAATCCGTTTCGTGGCGATATGATAGCGTGTCTTGGAGAAACTACCGGTGCAAATGCTCTAGCGCATTGTCATCAACAGATGAAGAGCACGGCCGAGGGTCAGCGTATACTCGAGCAAAAACCACGCGTAAACACATCCACCGTCGATCTTTCCTACCTCAAGGATCTGGCGCCGGGAACCGTGGGCAGAACGTACCGCGAGTTCTTGGATAACAATGTAAGATGAATTTATACTGTTTGAACAAACAGCCAGCACATGCATTTTCGTGAGCGAGCAATGTATTGCAGAAAGTATCACCTGACGACCGAGCAGCGGTGCAATTTGTTGACGATGTCGAACTGGCGTACGTGATGCAACGATATCGGGAGGTGCATGACATTTTTCACGCTATGCTCTTAATGCCAACGACAATGTTGGGAGAGGTGACGGTCAAGTGGGTGGAGGCTCTACAGACGCGTTTACCGATGTGCATAGCGGGTGCGATATTCGGTGCCAGTAGACTGCGTTCTAGGTATAAAAATTCAAATTTCAAACTTTCGCAGTACGCTGATTACTTTGGCACTGATGTGATCACGAGAATTGTGAGCTGATTATTCGCTACAAATCTCGCGCGTATATAAAATTAATTTATACATTTTACATATTGTGCGTGATCTTTTCAGACAAAGAGAATTGTACTTGAATCACCATCTCCCGTGGGGTATAAATACAGCGTTGAACGCAAAGTTCTTACTAGGTATCTATTACGAGGAACGCTGGGAGCAGTCTCTTGAAGATTTCCACAGAGAGATGAACATCACGCGTCTCGTATAACAATTTCTCTAGTCCCGCAAAACGCGTATGTTAAATTTATAATAAGAATTAATATCTATATTATTATTTGAAGAATGTAATTTTTAACTTTTTTGCCGATAATAAACAAAAAGCTTTACTGTTCATGCGTCTTAAAAATGTTTACTTCACAGAAGTAACAAACTCTCTCTGGTTTTCATCAAATTAATTCTGGTACACGCAAATCCTGTGTTTTTTAACTTTTCGTAGTCAGACGTGGGTCTCCCAGACCCGCTCAGAAGTTGCACATCGGCGTTTCTAGAAAAAATTAGTTTTTTTCTTAAACGCTTACATCTTCGAAAGTACTAGAGATTTGTTCAATTTGTTTTTTCTTTTTATCGACGCAGAAGTGTTCAAACTTTTGAATTAAAAAAAAAAAAAAATTGAAAAAATGGATTTTTCGCGGAGATATTCGATCTTTTAAAGTCGCAAAGGGTCTCACAGACCCGATCTGACTAACTCGTCGTCATTTTTCGAATTTTTCCCATCACGAAGGGTTAAATTCGAGTTTTTAGTTTTTTCAAAACAACACATACACACACACACGTTATTTTGATATTACAAATTTGATTTAATTAAACGTTACATCTGTTATAAACATATATAATCTAGAATTGTACGTTTATCGTAATTATTATTATCGTCGTTGTTGTTTCGAGTATCCGTTAATAATCTGTGAATTTTTCGTTTCCCCTGTTTTTGCTTTCATTGATTTCTTAGTATTATTAATATCGTATTACTTAAGGTGTATTTTAAAACGAGAGAGCGCGCTTCGCAAAAACCTTCATCCATTGAACGGTAGAAAATATTCGCTTAAAAGCTCTCTCTCTCTCCGCATTGATTTTCTCGCGATCTTTCGAAAATACTGATGACTATTTTTGGCACAAAGTATGCTGGAATACAATTCTTTTGTATTTTTAAATTGGAAGAATTAACGACGCAAAAATAACCCCGTGATTCCCGTGTAAACAGGGTTGTGCCCGCGTTTTAAAATACACATCCTCGCGTATTGTTGCTATTATTATTATTTATTATTATTATTTATTATTATTATTATTATTATATATATATATCTTGGAATAAAAGTAGATGACTTAGCTTTCGTAAGATATACGTGTAAGAAAGGATATTATGAAGAGTAATATTCTATTTGAAAATCCTTACGCTCCGTTTATACGAAATTTGATTAAAGATCTCAAATGATCTGCTCTCCTTTTTTCTAAGACAGACAAGCTGAATCGCGGTCACGACAAGTATATATATATATATATATACTATATAATATTTCACAAAATAAATACATATAAGTAGATGAGCAAAACTGATTGTCATTCTTCGACGTAATTGATATTACGCTCTCGCTTTATATGCCGATTTTACCTACGTTATCGTTTTTTTTTTTTTACTTTTTTAATTTTTTTTTTTTAATATTTTATTTTCGACTACACGTGCGTGCAACGAAGAAATTTTTAAGTTTAGTAAAAGTATATATGTACTCATAAAAGAGAAAAAGGCGAAACGTTTTGCGCGAAAAATCTTTGCGGCAAACTTGAACAAAAAAAGCGCTACGAAGCTTGCTCGCGTGATGATTTTTGACTCGTCTCGATTCGACGTTTTATATTAAATAGTAAATAGTGTATTACTAATAGAGAGTTATATGTAGAGGAAAAAGTGGATTAATCGTTCTATAATAATAAAAAGGATAATGAGAGTATCACATGTATATAAGCGTAGGAAAGATATGTAAATTTACGAATTAATAAATATAGAGATAAAATCTTTTATATCCGCTCACAAAATCACGTTCGCGTTCCTCTAAAATACCGAAAGATTTATCGTCAGATTAGTTTTTTTTTCTTTGGCGTACGCGTGGAATATAAATATTATTATTATTATAATATACGAGAGAGAAACACACGCGCGACTTGACTCGACGCATCAAACACCGTTTACCGTTAAGTTGTTAATAATCTATACTCTTATGTTTGTAATCGAAATTAGATAAATCTAGTTGAGCAGTAAGTTTAGTGGCCAGGGAGCATCCCATGTCGATGTGATTCAAGAATTTGTTGATTCCAATTGATCTGAGTATCGCGATTATTAGATATTTCGAGCCACTTGCAAAAGCAATCAAGAAAGCAATCTCAGGATGCTTCTTAGCTGATTGTAATCGATTTGGTCCGCGCCGCTGCTGTCGCTGAAGCATGGATCGTTTCCTACACGCTTTTCTCCCTCCCCCTCCCCCTCCCCTCCCCCCTCCCCCCCATCCTATCTCCTTTCTTTCTCGCAGGAACGTGTTCGCATTATATTTCGAACATTTTAATCCAGAGTCAGCTTCTTGAGGTAGCAATAAATCTCCTGGAAACTCGGTCGATCTTCCGCGTGTTTGCACCAACACCGCGTCATCAGCCGATACAGATCGTCCGAGCAGAACACTGGCTGTTCCAGAATTCGTGGGCATTTCTTCTTGCCGGCGCTGTCCAACAACTGATACCACAAACCGCAATTCTCCAACACCTGTTCCGAGGTCAGATCGGCGTAGGGCACGTCCTCGCATCGCGTCAGCACTTCCCAAATTGTCACGCCGTACGACCAAACGTCGGATTGGCAACTTCGTTTTCCCTTTTTTTTTTTGTTTTGTAAAAGATGAAAAGAATTTTTCAGCTAAATTTTATACAGTAACAATAACACGCACAATAAGAAGAGCTTTTTAATTAATTGCGAAACAAAATTTACCGACAAAACCGCTTCCCACGCCATCCAACGTAATGGTATTTTCGCGTAACTCTCGTCGATGTAATATTCGCCGTCGTATTTGTTACAGTATATCGCCTGGTCGGACACTTTGATCAGCAAATCTTTGCAGACGATGCAATTCCTGCGGCGCGTAAAAATAATACATTGATACACACATTTAAAATGAGATATTGCGATATTTTTGGTCGCGTAACGATATCTTTACCTGGCCGCCAGATCGCAATGTGGCACGTTCAAACTTTCGAGATACTTCATGCCCGAAGCTATTTGCGTGATGAAATTCAACGAGCACTCGTAACTGCGAAATTCATTATTGCATGTGAGCCCGTGGAGAACAAACAATCAATTAAGTTAACACGTCGTTATCCCCGCAACCTTACCTTATCGGCGCGTCGCGATCGCGGCTTTTCAGAAAACTGGACAAATTCCCGAATTCTCCGTACTCGAAAATGGCACTGAAAGGTTCTTCCTCAACGATCGCGATTATCCTGGCGATGTTGATGTCACGAATCTCAGCCAGAATGTGCATGTCGTTCATGAAGTCTTCCCTGAATTGATTTTACAGTTTCGTTAGAAAATTATATACGACTTTCACGTGTCGTACGTAAACTTTGCGAGAAAACGCTTTTACCTCAAAGAGTCGACAACGCCGCGCCACAAAGATCGGACTATCACCACTTGACGATTCTGAAGAATACCTAGATCTGGATTTTGTATGCCTTTTGCTTCGCACAAATGTACCTGAACGGACTCCGATTCTTATTAAAAAATTCTCCAAAAAGTTAACGGGAGAAAACGTGCAACATATCTTAGGCGAGAAAACATCAAAAACAAAAAAAACAAAAAAAAACTCACCAGACCAAAATTTCCCTCGCCGAGCTTATCGAGGATTCTCAATCTGTGCCGAGAGATACGCGGAACGTCGTAAGATCCGCGCTTGCACGACACAATCGAATCTCGAATGAGCAGCGGCGTGAAGAGGCTCACGGCCGGATGCTGATCACGTCTTTTTATCTACAACATATCATAACACTACCGAGTATTGCATTTCAACAATCGCTAAATCGCTCGAACGATTGCCACATTTGGACACGGAGAGAAGCTTTCCTACCGTTAAAATGTCCGTGGCCGCGTAATAACCTTCGTAAATTCTTTGATTGGATTTTTCTGAATTGTAATTCCATTTTCTCGATATCGTCGGTATTCTGCATTCCATTCGCGCTTCGTTCTCGCCAGTTTTAGAATCTAAAAATTCAACATCAAATTAAAAGTCAAGCGCGACGATGACGCAATGTCAAGACGTAAAATTGAAAATAAAAAATATTTCTTATTTCACACACACACACACACACACACCAAAATGTTCCGGTTTATAACTAGACTTCGCTTCGCATTTGGCGTGTTGTTCCGAGGGCAGTTTGTTAATCTTTTCATAGATGCTGTGTTTCTCGTTTGCGTCGACGTTGCCGAAATTATAATCGTCGCTCGAGGCCAGTTTGCTTTTCAGCGACAGTCTTGATTGCGACAGATTATTTACCACAATCGACGTGGGTAATTTAATGTCTTTCGTATTGATCGTAATGCCTGGCGCTGGCGAACTGCACAGCAACGCGGTGTGTTTTTGCAACAACGCGACTTTGTTGCGACCTCTCTGTTTCATCAGAAAAATCGTGCAACTCGAAAAAAAGATGATTATAGTCAGCGCCGCGCTGATCAGCCCGATGTACACCGGCGAATTGTTTACCGGGAAAGCGTTCGGTGTTACATTTGACTCGTTCAACACCATCGTTGTCTCGTTAGAGTTAGACTTTGCGCGTTCACGTTGAATGTTAATTTTCTTCTCGTTATCGGTTTTAGCCCGAGCTTTCGCATTGTTTTCGTTCGCGTCATCTTCGTTTTCCGCTTGTTTTAATTTGACAACTTGATCCTGATCGATTGTTTTCGACGTGGTCTCGTTATTGTTCGAATACGTCCACGACAATCGCTCGAACGCCTCGTCAAAAATGTTTGTCACATCTGAAACTGAATCAAATCGGAAAGATAATCGTGACAAGATTTCCCCACGTCAAAATTCCAAAAAACCAAATGACAAATTACCTGTTTCGAATGTAATTTCACTTAGTAGCAACCATTTTGATTTAGGTATCAATGTTATCTTGACAAATTTGCCCATTATAAGAGGCAACGGAATAGACATCGAAGCGCTATTTTTGTTTTCGTTATCCCTCTCGTTGCTGCTATTGATTTTGGAATCAGCGAATACTTCCGGTGGCGTGTATGCTACTGTATCTTTGTCATCCGACCAAAACGAGAAATATGCCACCGAGAACGTCTAAAAGTTGCTCAGATCAGAATAATTGTGTTAACCAAATGTCAAGAGAGAAAAATATCCACAAGACAAAAGTTACGAGTGCTCGAAGTCCGGAGCACTTATACATATATTTCTTTAATGAATAATTAAACAAACCTCGATATTCAGATCGGTCAATGTAATCCCGTGTATCGTGCAGTTCTTGAATCTCCGAGAAGTTTGAAACTCAAAGATCAATTCTACGTTATTCCGATTGTGCCAACCTACCCAGTTGGTCACTTTGTTGGATTCACGGATCTCGGTTTCGTTGCCGAGTATGCTGTCGGTTAATTGACCGAGTCCGTTCAATGTTAAATTCTCGATTTCCGTGCCGTCGTACGACGTGTCCTCGACGTTACATCCGTTCGGTCCGATCTTATCGGCTTTGGGCGCGGTATAACTAACGACGCCTTCTGCACACGGACAAGCGAAAGCAAAAATCGTTATCGACATTGGAGTTGAATATCGCACGTGAAAATAAAAAAGTACTTACGATTCCACGCACAACCGTAAATCTCGACGCGCATACACACGGTGCGCGGGTGCTGACTGTAGGGAATGAATCTCACCCGACTCGCGATAAAGGGTAAATCTAACTTCTGTTTTTCGACCAGATATGTGTTACTGTTACCGCGCAAAATCTGCAATGCAATCGTTATGATGAAAAACAACATTTTGTTTTGGTGGCGCATGCATATGTAGCAAATTTTGAAAAATTAGTTTAACGACATTTTTTTCAAGAATTATAAAAAAGTAAAACTTTGATTTTTGTACTTATAGAACGTCAAGAACGCTGAGTGTGAATTAATCTGTGATTAACCCTTCGTGGTCAGAGGCCTCAAAAATGACGACGAGTTAGACTCCGGATCTGTGAGACCCACGCGCGAAAAATCGATATTTTTTCAATTTCTCTTTTTTAAAAGTTTGAAACAAAAACTTCTGCGTTGATAAGAAAAAAAAACGAATTTTTTCTAGAAACGCCGATGCGAAATTTCTGAGCGGATTTGGAAGACACGTCTGGCCACGAGAGGGTTAAAAAATAAAAAGCCAACTTTCTTCTAAATGAATTATAATTCTCTCGTGTGATTTTGATGTTAAAATTCTTTCTGTTAAATTTATTTTGTTTTGACACGGCACGTACCTTGTTCCCTTTCAAATCTTTATACTGATGCCACTTTTCGCGGCGCCAGTATTCCAGAAAAAATGCCTCGGCATATTCCTGACCCTGGCCGTTACCAAATCGGCCCTGGGTTTCGGTCCACGTGATCAGATGATCTCTCGTCAAATCAATCTCCAGATATTCGCGTATAGCGCTACTGATTTGAGCCTTCGGACACCAAGCACCGCCGTTCTTCTCCTGCCGAATCATACATATATGAATTCTCATAAATTGCATCGATTTTTTTTTTTTTTTTTTTTTTTTTTTTTTTTGATAATGCGTATCGCATTTTCACATTTGTATCGTGTACCTCGCGTTTTGGGGTCCTACGGATTTCATCTCGTAACTGGATGACGCCGTGATCGCTTCATCCGGAATTTTTCCTTCTTCCATGCCGAGTGGAAGTATGCATTTTTCTAAAAAAAAAAAAAAAAAACAAAAACAAAAAAACTCCGCTTTCGAATATGCTTCAAATCTTAAAACTCTAAAGCGTCCAGTCATTGATATACAAAATACACGCTGCACAAATATACAAAAGAATAGGTAGCTATGAAAAATTACGTGTAAATTTCGAATTAGATGCGAAGAATTTTGTTGCCGGAGCACGATGTCGCACAAAAATCTAGTTTCTTTTCCGAATTACGGAAATATATTACAAATCGCCGCGCGATAGTCACGAGTTAACAATCTGGAATGAATTAGCGAATGTTTTCTTACCGAGAGTGTGTTCGACGGATACTTTCATGCACCAGCTGAACAGCATTAAAATTTCTATCAAAAGGCGTAGCACTGGCTCCATGATATGTTGCGATAACGGGGGCGCGTATCGACGATCCCGAACGCATTTACAAATCATAATACAATACAAGCGATCCTCTCATCGCGTCTCTCCCGAAAATCGCGGTGCATCGTGTAACATACAAGTGCAACGGAAGAAAAAGAAAAAGCGATTTACAGAAACGACGAGTGTCTACGAGGCCTGATGCAGCTTTTCGCTCGCATTGGGTGGGGATGTTGATACTCGGCGTAGCTTGGCCCCGGCTGTTGTCTGCGCAACAAGTATGGAACGATCAATATGCGTTATTGCGCGGGTGTACGAAATTTCGCATATTTGGTTAATCCAAATATACGCGTTTCTCTCAAATGCGCCCGCTCCCCAATTCCCCTGAGGAAAATCGAGCTTTGCGATCGCCGCCGCGATTACATCTCTATTTTTCTATTTACATCGGGAAACGTTTCCGTTCAAGAGATGAAATCGCCGATGCGACTAGAATATAGTGGTTTCATAATTTAAATCCAAAACCACGTACGCACACTTTGTTATTTTCTTCGCGAGATTGAATTAACTGTTTCCACATCGAGCTCAACGGCTCACGTCAACCCTCATTTCCGCGTTTTTATCGCTCATGCAAAACAGAACGTAACGTAACAAAGGCGTTCACAATGCGTTTCCCGTTGCACTTCCGCGACATTCATGCGAACGAAAACGGATCGACGTTTGCAATAATTGCTACGGTCACATTGTGATCGGGAAGAAAGGATCTTATGTAGGATGTTAGATAATACACACGGAGAGAGGTGATGTTTCGGCAACCAATGGCGGTGGCGATTAGCGTTCCATTGCGCAAAATCATGAAAATTCTAATATATATATATACTGACATACATGAATTGTACGCCATACAAAATAAAAAATAAAAAAATATATATATACATACATAAAATGCATTTATTGACAAAAGTTAAGAAACAAAGTAGTATTTTTAATATTAAATCGCTGACCAATAGAACGCCGCACTTTATTTCTAAAGTCATTTCCGAATAAATTGAATTTACTTTCATCGCTCCACAGAATTTTTGACCACAGTACTATATATATATATATTTGTACACCAAAGTTCTTAAATAACTACTTTGCTTCTTAACTTTTGTCAGTAAATGTATATGAAAAAATTAATTCTTATTATAAATATTTGGAATTAGAAATATATATATATATATATATATATATATTATTGCACATGTGCTTTTTGTTTTGTTAATGAGACACATATGTGTAATAAAACATATGTTCAAATAATCAATTCGCAATTCGCGAATCTTATCTCACCGTTTAACATAGGACGCTTTCCAGCTATGTACACAAGCGACACTGTGTAACACAGTGTTCATTAGTGTGAGAAAGAGCATATCAAGGGGTGCTTTCCAACTACGTACACAGGCGACACTGTGTTACACAGTGTCCACTAGTGTGAGTGAGACGCACTGATATGCTCTTTCTCACACTAATGGACACTGTGTTACACAGTGTCGCCTGTGTATGTAGTTGGAAAGCACCCAGTTGCAATGAGAAATCAGGAGTCTTAAAAGACAGGTTCATTATTTGTAAATATTCTATTTTTATATCACTCTTGCGATCCTACAAAATCTCCGTATTCCAGAAACGTTGGTTTTAAATATTTTTTCATGCATGTGTGTATTGCAACGATGTTTTCTGTACAATCGGTAGTATCTGTTTACGTGTTATTTTCACATTTTTCTGCTTATACAAGTACAGATTATAGTTTTCGCTTCGAATCTCTTTGATCAGATCTAAATTCAAACATGGTTGGGTGCAGGAAGTCAACGCTTCGATCATCTAGAAATAAAGAAGCGCTCAAAAAGGTGTAAGATGCGTGGATAAAATTCTGTACGTTGAACGTATGCTCACATCGCTTCCCAACTGACTAGATGATGTCGACCAAAAAACTGCAATATCTCTGAATACACAGTCGCTGCTCAAATCTTGACCGATGAGAATAGTGACAGTGCAATTTCTATCGTTAGTGAACTTTTCAATTGTTTCTCTGGCATTTTCTCTCAAGAGAAAATTCTGAAATTGTGCGAAATACATATTTCGTAGAATAGAATAGAATATTAATGTAGAATATTCTCAAAAAAAAGTAAAATTGCAAACATACTTCCACTAGTAGAGAGAATCCTACAAGAGGTATGTTATTAACTACTTTCAAATCTTTAATCATAAGTTCTTCCAGAGTTAATTCGCTGATGTCTGTTTTTGCTCTCATTAGTTCAATAAATGTATCTGTTCTATTAGAAGTGAGCCCGCCAAGTCGTTCGAGAGTGTTTAACACATCAATATCAACAGCGGTTGCCCGACCAGCTTTATCCGACATGTTGTAAGTATCAATCAGTATCGGACCTAGAAGCAATACGATGTACGACAATATCTAATTGTGCACAGTAGAGACTAGCTCCTCAGAATTAAGAGATCATACTTGTATTACCTCGTAACAAGCTTGATATTTGAGCATCTAGTATATCAGGGTGTTTTTGTAGAACGTTACGTGCAACAAGAGTAGCACAACTTCCAACAGTTTCTATGGTTAATGGTATGTTGGACCACGACCAGGCTGGATCCAATGGTCTATGATCGATAATTGTTACAACTGAAGGTTTTAATACAACATCTTCATTTGAAAGAGTATGATGATCAACTAGGATCAGTTCCAGCTTCTTTTCGGCATCATTCTGCACATTTTGCAAATTGATCTGATCTCTGTTAGAAATGCACACAAATAATATAAACACATCACCTCGATTTAGAGTGTCAAACAATTCACCTGAAAGTTATTAGATTCAATGGGACGCCGTGAGCTTTTAGACTGTAGACTACCTCGGTCTTAATGTGAAACTCCTTTTCTGGAATATTCATGACTGGTATTACGGCAACAGCATTTTGCTCGCGTTGTTTGGCTTCAGTATATTCCAATAATCCCTGAACAAGAGCACATACAGCGGAATCCAAATCGCAGGTTGGATTTCCCAGGATGACGCGTATCGTTTGATATGACGATAATTGCGTCTGACACGTAAAGAACGAGATATTAAATAATAACTGATTAAAAATAATTGATCTCTAAAACGTGGTGAATTATTAATTTTATTCTTAAAACTTCGATTATTTACCAAAGCAGCTCTCGATGCATTGAGAAACGATTCCATAGCTCATTTCAAAAATGAAAGACTGTCTGCTCGGTGAAGAGAATTATTGAGCGCTTTAAAGAGTATATCCGCACAGAACAGTTTCACACGATATGATGGACGTCTAATAGAGTTTTGGTCTGTGTGGATACAAAGGTTAGAAAACTTGCCATATCGATTATTACAAAGCGACGTGAGCCACTGAATTTGTCGAGTCACTGAATTTTTTTGAATCAGTCGTGTCATTTCTATATATTGATGCATTATTATTTATTTATTTTTACACCATTTAGTTGGCAGAGAGACTTCTAAACGGAGGGATTTAAACGATCACTCTCGAAATATCTCGATTTGATGTTTTTCGAGAGTTAAATCTCTCTAACTGACCAATTGCATCAATCGATTAAATCGAAGATGGTTGACTTGAAGGTTTTTAACCATGCAGGTGGAAGAAAACCTTAAAAGGTTGGTGTTTGCAGATGTGTGGCAGTGTTTGGGACTTGCCGGATCAATCACGTATTCATACGTATGGTGAATTGAATTATTTGCAATAAACGAGATTATTATAACCACTACACATGCGGTCGATCAGAAACATTATTCAAAAGACGTTAAGGTCTTCGAAGATGTGTCTTCTACATTTTCCCAAGGTAGTATTAAGGATTCGTCTTTTTCTTAGACATTTGTGTCATAAAGTGTATATACTTATAAAATTTACATTTAATTGAAAGAAAATGCTTATTTTAGGACAAAGATATAAAAATGTTGAGAAACGCTCATACTTCTAATGTCAGTGCTTTTGGCAAATATGATATTGTTCGACCTCAGATGGTTTCTGACCAGGTTGACGTACCTGCGTACATACCTCAGCCGTCCTACAGTCAGTCATCAATACCTGAAGAAGGACCAGAGATACCTGAGATCAAAGATGCTTTTCAAATAGAATCTATGAGACACAGCTGTAAGCTCGCCAGACGTATCCTATGTCAAGTTGACTCACTAATTAAGGTAAATTATTTTACTCTTAAATAACATTCTTTTTTTTTATCAACTATATCTATCACTCAAAACATTCGTGCATAAAAATAGTTTGAAGTATCGATGTGCTTCATATGATAAAACTTGAATGTATAAAACAAAAAAGCGGCATATGCTAGCCAGGCATTACAACCGATTTTCTGAACAACCAACTACACGATATGATTATTGCCAATGGAGCATATCCCAGTCCGCTCAATTATTACGGATTTCCCAAATCCGTATGTACAAGCATTAACAATGTTGCCTGTCATGGAATTCCAGACAATAGACCTTTACAAGACGGTGATATTCTCAACGTTGATATAACAGTAAGCGGTTTTAACTTTATTTTTAAATGGTCTGTGTATTCAAACATACAAAAACAAAACCATTTGTTAATGTTCAGGCTTCTTAAAACGCTAGTTGAAATTTTCTTTTAAATAGGTGTATCTGAATGGATATCACGGTGATTGTTCAACCATGTTTCAAGTGGGGAATGTTGATGCAGAAGGCAAACGATTAATATCAGTTACGGAATTATGTTTAAAATCGGCTATTGAAATATGCAAGCCAGACGAACATTTTTGTAATATTGGTAATACAATTGAAACAAAGTTTTTCTTCTTTCTGTTAAATGTGTGATTTTTATTGTTTTTAACATAGTGAAATTTTTTCATCTCCAGGTAATGTGATAGAAAAAATAGCAAATAAACACAATTTCAATGTGATACCCGCGTTTACGGGTCACGGCATTGGGACTTATTTTCACGGACCTCCAGATATTTTTCACTTCGGTATGGTAAACACTTTATTGACGCACTTTAAAATGAACTAGTTACGATCGGTCGTTTCTTTTTTGTGTAATTCAATTAATTACAATGTTAATAATCTAATTAATTTAATTTTTCTTACATATATTCAGTGCGGTTCTATCGTACTTGTACACACATTAAAGAATCACATCTAGAATTGTTTGTTTTTCAGCAAATTCTTATTCTGGTAAAATGAAAGCTGGAATGACATTTACTATCGAACCAGTTTTGAGTCAGGGAATGATAGAATGTGAAATTTTAGAAGATGGATGGACAGCTTGCACCATCGACAATTCAAGAACAGCGCAAATGGAACACACAATTTTAATAACCGATATAGGTTGTGAAGTACTAACGCTCTAAGTTACAACTATTGTAATTGTTTTCCCGATAGATATATAAATATAATTATTATACAGGATGTCCGACAATTAGTTTAATACGCGCGTAAGACCCAATGCATGCTTATTCGCGGATCTTTGTTAATTAATAAATTAGTTTCAAGTAACGGCTTGGTAAAACAAATTAAAAGAAAAAGAACCGAAGAACCTATGGTCCAAGTTGGCAGTAGACAATCAAACAATTTAATTTTTAAACGTCCAAATACACTGCGTGTATTCTGGACGTTTTGATTAAATTGTTAATTAAGATCTCGGTAACTATTGCTAATCTCGCAATAAAATGGTACAGGACTTTTCGACTCAGTTTTTACTCCTTCTACCTGCCTACAAAAGATGATTAAACCAATTGTCGGATACTTTGTATATGTACAGAAACTCGAATTAATTTACTCAATTATTATATTCGATATCATAATTGATTATATTTCACGAAGAGAAAATTATCTTTATCAAACTTTATCATAACTTATTTATTTTATTATACCTTATTTTGAAGAAATAAAAAAGAGAGAGTATATTAGTTTCACAAAATTGCGGGGCCCCAATAGCTATCTAAACTTAGTGGTCCTTCAATTTCGACTCCTTTTTCTTTTGTGATGATGCCAAGATAATACTAAACAAAAAAAAAGAAACCAGTTTGTAGATGATGCACACAAGAAATTGTTGAAAACTACTACTAATGCAATACAAAAAAATACTAATACTATTAAGTGATACATATTTGGATAGTTTATACCTTTGGGAAGGATCTTGCATCTCTGTAAAAAAGAACTTGCATTACTTTGTATAACAGTTCAATAGCTTCTTCTTTGGTCATTTGACTGTTATCTTCACAAGCTTTTCTTAGTAAGGGTGTCGCCATATAAGCACCATAACCTGTCGCTATCACTGGATCAGTATAAGATGTTCCAAGTTTATCCACAGTTCCCATAAATCTAAAAAAAAGCAACTTATGTTGATCAAAACAGAACTTAAGTTGGAATTTTCTCAAAATGCAGATAATGCTTACGGTTTTCCATCTTCCAAGCCAGCAATCACAAAATTATTCCAAAATGGATTGAAATTTGACCGTCTGTTGTACATAACACGTGTCAACCAGCAATGCAATGCTTTGGGTTTCAAACTAAATCCATCATCCAAACATTGTTCTTCCAAACTGAAACAATCAGAATATAAGATGATATTGCAGTTCAACAAAAGTTCAACAAAGTTTTTGTGACAGCTTATTTTCAATAAAACATTGAATATTATGAAAAAAATAAAAGCTACTTTAGTACAATCAAAAGAAATTACATTTTTCTTTCTACATAACTCTTGATACACTGAAAGTCTGCGTAATCTCCCGAGGCACCAAGAATGATATTGTCATTGACTTTCATGATACGCTCCAGATTTCGATAACGGGCGAGTGACCCATAAGATCCCAAGATATCGGCAGCTATGACGACTCCGTCTTTGAATTGTATTCCAACGACAGACGTACCGGTTGTCATTGGAGACCTGTATAAATATTTAAATATTATATTAAACAAGTATCTCTCTATCACATTTTGATTTTAATTATATTATTAACTTTATATTTAAGCTACACATAAGTTTAAATACATGTAAACTTTCACATAACTGTTTTGCACATAAGATGACATGCGAGTTTCAGAGTGGAAATAAGGTTATGACATACACAAATGCGCTTAAATAAATTGAACATTTGCGAATTGTAATTAGATATAAAACATACATTGATTTCTGGAATCCTCCAGTGCCGTACTGACTGCCTGGAAAGTGATAGAAGGCACCAGGTGACGGTCCATTCTGCCACAAAGGTAAATTACTCGCACCGTCAAAAGCCATTTTAATCAACTCAGTGTCGGTTTGATTTGCTGCAATATCTGACTCGGTCCAAAATCAACTCAGTGTTTCTCTATATATATGCGCGTTCCCCTACCTTTACCATGGGCTGTGTTCCAAAATTCACTGCCAGCGCTAAAGATCTATAGTTTACGTCACATATATTATACAATTTTAGCGCTGGCAGCAATTCTGGAACACAGCTATGTTGAAAAAATGGGTGCGTTCAGACAACTCAACAGTTGCACAACTGTTGAGAGATAATCACTTCTGATTGGATCATACTTTTGGAACCGCAGCAAATTTTGAAGAATAGTCCTATCATAAGTGATAATCTCTCAACCGTTGAGTTGTCTGAACGCACCCAATGTCTTTAACGTTGAGAGAGACAGCTGGTGTTGAACAGTAGCCTCATCTTTGTCTAGCAAAGTAGTGGGGAAAAAAGAAGTCTTCGCTGATTGATAGGCTGTGTTCAGTTAAGCAAGATGGAACGAACTAATGGAGAAAATGCAGGAAATACAGGAATTGGAACTAATGAATTCCTGTATTTCCTGCATTTCCTGTATTAGTTCGTTCCATCTTGCTTAACTGAACACAGGGCTGTGCTCAGTTAAGCAAAATGGAACGAACTAATGCAGGAAATGCAGGAAATACAGGAATTCATTAGTTTCAATTCCTGTATTTCCTGCATTTCCTCCATTAGTTTGTTCCATCTTGCTTAACTGAACACAGCCATATGCGCGCATTTATCTATACTATACGTCACGTGTACACAACGCGTCACTGAATCGCGCAATAGGCGCGGGGATCGGGGGGCAAGCGGGGCGGTTGCTCGTAGCGCCAACGAGCGCCGTGCGAACTAACTAGTAGCAATCGGTTGTCCACAACTACGTCGTGTCGATAATGTAACTGCTCTTCCTTCCTATTTTCTTCTCAAAACGTAAAATTATTGGCCAATTACTTAATATTTAACGTTGACAAATAACATGTGTATATATATATATGTATATATATATATATGTGTGTGTTTAATAAATGGATCTATTAATGTCTCCGGTAAATGGAAGGAACGTATATTGTAAAAGTCTCGTTTAAAAAAATATATGTATATTG